AAGTGTCTGTGAGGGCCCTGGGGTCCTGGCAGCTCCTCCTGACTCTGCCACCCACCCAGAGGCTGTCTTGGGCCTGCCCGGCCTCTCTCCAGAGGTTTCTCTGTTCGCCGCTCCCTCTCAGAGGTCCTGGCTGATGTCCTTGGGGGCGGTGAGGACCCCTGGAGCCGCAGGTCCCCCTCCGGTCTCCTGGGAGGAGGGGGCTCTGCACGACTCCTCCTCCGGGCTGGTTCTGCCTGCTTCACCTGGGGATGAGGTGAGGGGTGGGTGAGGCTCAGGGACCCCGACCAGGCTCTCAGCCAGAGGCAGGCTGTGTCCTCACAGCCGCCCGGATTAAAGCAGGTCAGAAAGTACCCAGAGTCTCTGCATTCTCTCTCTGGGGTGTCTGCCCTTCCCGCTCACCCACCTTCCTCCGTTCCAGAAAGAGATCTGCAAAGACCTGCTCACTTTCCCGGCTCCCCTCCCCCGAGATATTCATTCCAACCTGGGCTATCAGGTGCACAAATTTCCACTGCCAACACTCCATTCCACTGCTCAGGCCTCGTCCTCTAAGGGTTTCTTTAAAACATAAGTCCCACCCTGGCAGAGACAGCCCTGCGAGCTGGGGGGCGGAGGCCGGGCCTGCCCTGCCAGCTCGAGGAAGCAGCTGCCCGATGAAGGAAGGAAACCGCGCGGGAGGGCCGTCTTCAAAGGGCTAATCTGGGGTCCTCCTCGATTTTGCCAAGAGCTGCTGGCTCTTTGGGAGAGAGAGAGAAGCTGGACAACCATGACTGGGACTCTGACCCTTTCATAAAGGACCTCCCTTCCCAGGACCCCTGCCTGGCACCTGGGGGAGAGGAAAAGCAATGGCTCGCCCCTTGGGGTGCAGGGGCCCAGGGCAGGCTGGCAGTGCTCACCTCCCTGCTGAGGGCAGGGCTGGACTGTCTTCGGAGAAGCTGGCTCTGACCTTGGCCGGGCCGCTGCGACCGCCCCTCGTCCCGGGCCTGGAAGGCCCCCGGTGCCTCGGACTTCCTATGAGCAAATGCAGTCGCCCCTCTGAGGGCCCTTGGGACTGTCCCACTCCCAGCACCCACCTCCTCTACTCCCACCCTCGATGAGAGGAGATATGGAATAACCAGGGACCCACATCTGAAGAGCCCTACGGGAGGGATGAGCCTCTCAGGGCCTCAGTATCCCTTCTGAACAATGGCCATGGGCAACAGCACTGTACCTGCCTCATGGGGCTGTTGTGGAGACTAAATGAGCAAAGGTAGGGCCTCAGCCTTGGCCTTGACTGCCTCCTGTCTCCCTCAGCACTTCCTGTTCCTGACTGCCACCCAGCCAGCAGCCCACCTCTCAACCCCAAACAAAGGTTAGACTGGTCTTTGTGGGAATTAAGATTTATTGAGCACCTACTGGTTACCAGGCACTGTGCACACAGGGTTATACACAAATGTTTATTGAGCACTTCTTGTGTTCTGGGTGCCGAGCACTCGTACCTCTCATGTCACCTCGCACAGCCCATGGGGTGAGGCTGGGAGAAGCAGAATGTGTCCCCCCAATCCCATGCTTTCTGCCACCTTTCTATCTCCGCGCTACGCTTCGGACTTCCCAGCCCATCTTTTCCCCATCACTAACCAACGGGATTCCTGCACTTGGCCTTGAAAACTCTGGGCCATCCTAGCTGTTGGTGACAGAGCTCTGAGTAAGATCAGAAAGAAGAAATGTTCTCTCTTCCTACACAACTCCAGGAAGGCCAACATAAACTGTCCGTGCAAATGTCATTTCTAAGACACCTAGACTTCAGGCCTTGTTGCCACGTCCGACAAAGATAACCTCCGAGCTGTAAAAAGTCCCTAGTTCCACTTGGCTGTGTTACTTAATCATTGGTAGCCATGGTTATTAGTGTCTAACATGACATCTCTGTTGCGCGTAGGAACGCCAAACAGATCCTGGGCGGGTCTCTCCCTCCCGCGTGTAAGGGGACTACTCCACTGGATCCAGTCCAACGGGGTGTAAGTCTGGCTCCATCAACACTGACAAATGGAGCTGTGTCTCTGGTGGCTGAACTGAACCAGGAGAGAGAAGCCTGAAAAAACACGGCCTGGTGCTGAGCCTTGACCGAGCCAGCAAAGAGGGAAGTAAGAGGAACCTCTGCTCAGGCCTGCGCGGGGACCGTGCTCAGCAGTCTGCCCCCGGCTTGGGAACCACACTGGAAGTCTACAGAGGCTTTGGGAGGAACAAACTCTGGGCTTGGGTCTGTTGGTGTCTCATGGCTTTTACCAACATCATTAGAATCAGATCCATGAAGCAGCTGGAGATTTTAGCAGTTCTTAGCAGCGGACTCACAGGGAAGCAAAGCCCTCCACTGGGGTAAATGTTAGTAAGTGTGGGGCTGCCTGATTAGGTTCCGTTTTTAATCTAATTTAAAGTGAGAAAGGTTCCTTGCTCCGTGAGATCTGAGGCCTGAGAGGTCATTTCCCCCAGAACCAGGGTGTAGGAGCCTCTGTGAAGCAAAAGCCTCAAAAGTGACCGGGTGGGAGGACACAGTGACAGTGACGGAGACCACCCTGCGCGGGGCAGCAAGGCTCACGCGTGTCCTCTCTCGAGTGAGTGCCTTTTCCAGACAAACTCCAGCTTCTCAGTTCCTCCTGACAAGTCTCCCACCCCACGTGGAATTGAGAGAGGGGCTCGAAGGACTCAGTAGAATCTGAGACGCCAACAGAGACCCAGCCTTTCTGATTCTGAAGCAATAGCTCCTCAGGCAACCTGTTCCTGAAGGCTGGTGTGACAGGAAATGCTTTTCCTTTGGAAGCCAGGATGGGCTGTCAATCTAGCAAATTCCAGGAAGGCTCTGTTTTAAATTCAAGAGACTACGAAGTGCTTATATGATTCTAAAATAAGAGATTCCAAAGGTAGGGGGGATGAAGATATTAAGCTATAACTCCTAATGCTTTAAGGTGATAACCTGTTAAGGAAAAATTTCCAGGCTCAGTTAGTACAATGCTTGGACAGAGTAGATGCTCAATAAATACAAGTTAAATGAAATGGGAGAAAATAAAAGTACGGCTCTATAACCACCCACTCGTAAATTTCAGTCTTCCAGGTACTTAAATAGGTTTTAAAATTCCATTTTCAGAGTATGAATGGTTTTCTACTTGGAAAAAGTGCCATACAACAGGAGAAAATTTAATTACTCAGTAGAAGGATAAAACCTTGGTTCAAGGGTAAATAATCTATTTCTCCAAAATATATACATTAAATATATGCAATGTTTACATATCAGTTATACTTCAATAAAGCCAAAAAAGGTAAATAATCTATTTCAAAGAGAGTAAAATAAAATGAAAAAAAGGATCTGTGTAAAAACAATTAAATGATTAATAAAAGTATAAACACATTTTGGACTTCTATTATAAACCTTTATCTCTCTAAAAGTTACCCCAGTTGGAAAAAAGAAAGAAAAGTTAACTTTGATTTAAAGACCTTAGTGTCCCTGCTGAGTTATCAAATAAGTATGCAAACTGCTGTCTGTCTAAAAATAGCAATCATAAAAGGAAAGACCGAGACAAGGGGGGTTTTTCGGGCAGTGAAACTCTCTAAGATACTAGCATGGTGGCTAAGTGTCGTTGTACATTTGTGCAAACCCACAGAATGTACAACACGTGGAGTGAACCCTGATGTAAACCATGGACTTTGGATGGTAATGACGTGTCAGCGCACGTTCATGGTTTGTCACAAAGGTGCCACTCTGGTGGGGGAAGCTGACTGTGAGGGGGGGCTATGCATGTCAGGGAAACGGATACGTGGGAATTCTCTGTACTTTCCACACCATTTTGGTGTGAACCTAAAACTGCTTTAAAAATTAGGGTGTTTTTTTTTTTTTTTTTACATTTAAAAAAGGCCACGGGAAGAATTACATTAAAGCTGGAGACCATGAAGGTTGTTACCTGGATAGTCAATGGATCAAACTTACTGGAAAGGGAAATTTGAAGAATAAAAGAGAAGGTTTCTCACGCAGATTCTAACCTAAGAGAAAATGTTGCTAAGGGACAATAGAGAGAGGAATTCCGGATGCCAAATATCACCCACTCTTCAGGGTGATGGAAATGTTCTATATTTAGGTTGTGGTGATGGTTGTACAACTCAGTCTTGGTAAATACACTATAATTCCTTGTACGCTAAACATTTTGAGACTTTCAGACCAACTGTTTTGTTGTTCTCTGGACCCTAACTAGTGGAATTCCAGACCTGATCCTGAAAACTGCCGAGGCTGGAACTGCATGCTGGGAAGAGAAATCTCAGCCAGGTCAGGGGGTGTCTCCTCCCCTCGGCTGTGGGAAGGCAGCCGCTCTCCTGGGTCACACACCGCCCGTGGCGCTGACCAGGGAGACTCGCGGGATACCTGGACTTCAGGCTGTCGCCATGTCCCAGGAAAGTAACCTTTGATCTCTAAAAAAGTCTGTGATTCTGAGTTCTCTTAATTACAATAATGGCTCTGGCCACATGTTTTCAACTGACATCTCTGTTTTCTGAGAGGCATGGGTTCCCGTGAGTTTTCTTTGTTAAGGTAGGAAAAAAAATCACAGGCACTTTCTTCCCTCATATAAGAAAAGAATAAACGTATGACTCTGGATCATACTAAGGGTTTGAGAGCTTAACCTTATTTCAATTAATGTACTAATGTTCTAATTTTACAGATGAGGACATTGAGGCTCAGGTAGGTTAAATCACTTTACCAGGTCACGAAGGTGGGAAATAGTATCAACCAGGATTTGAACCCAGCCTGACTGATGCTGGTCTTTGCTCTTAACCACTAGGCTGTGCACAGGATCACTTAATCATCAAAAAAGACTCTTAACACAGGGAAAGAGAGATGAAATGACTTGCCCAAGGTCACACAGCCACTAAGTGGCAAGGCAGGGGACTGAGCCCTTTCCATCTGGCAACCTCAGCCTCGAACTTTCCACCTGTCCTGCTGCTGAGCCTCCTCCCCAGCCCACCTGGCTGACCCCACCCTGGGCTCACCTGCGCTCTTGCCCGAAGAGGCGCTCCACCTCTGCACGGCCAGGGCTGCGGGTTCGGCCCCCGTTGCTGCCCTGGGGCCCTGGCTCCCTCTGTGCCAGCCTCCTGGGCGGGGGCAGGTCAGCCAGCACGGTGTACTCCTCCCTCTCCAAGTTGTGCCTGGTCTCCCCGGGGGGTGCTGAGCCCCGGGAGCCCCCTGAGCTGCCTGGAGGAGGTGAGGGTGCCAGGAGCGCTAGGTCGCTGGGTGGGTGGCGGGGTGGGGAGGAGGCTCTAGGTGCATCCCGGTGCCCGATGCACACTGCGGGGGGCAGCACTGGGGAACCATGCAGAGAGTCGGTGGAGGGGGCCAGGCTCTCCATACTAGTCCCAGGAGGGTCCTGAAAGAAGAGGGAGAGCTCAGGGGCCTGGCGTGGTGGGGATGAGAAGGAGGGTGCATCTCGGTGCCCGATGCACACAGGGGTGGGGATGTGGGGTGGCTCGTGCAGAGAGTCTGTGGAGGGGACCAGGCTCTCAGTGCTGGCTCTGGGGAAATCCTGGAACAAGAGGGAGGGCTCGGGGGCCTGGCGCGGTGGGGAGGAGGCCCGGGGTGCATCCCGGTACCCGATACAAACAGATGGGGGGAACTGCGGAGGGTCATGCTGGGACAGCTGGTTCTCAGCATCCGATGTGTCTGGGAGGAAGGGGAAGGGATCAAACTGGGTGTGTCGAGGGGGTGAGGAGGCCCGGGGGGCATCCCGGTGTCCAATGCACACGGCCGGCGGGATATAAGGGGGCTCGTGGTGGACCGATTCACTCTCAGAGGCATGGGGGTCTGGGAAGAAGGGGAACGGGTCATGCTGCAAATAGCGAGGAGGTGAAGAGGCTCGAGGGGCATCCCGGTGCCCAATGCACACAGCACATGGAGGCTGGGAGGACTCGAAAGAGGTCTGGAATGCCCCTCGAGAAGCGAGGTACAGGGGTGAGGAAGTCCGGGAGGCACCGTGGTGGCCAGGGCTGTGAGAAGAGGAAGTGGCCCGGGCTGGTGAGTTGTGCTGGGGAGGGCCGGAGGGGGACTGGGGTGAGTCACGCTGAGCTGGCCTATTGGGCGATGAAGTCTGAGGTCTGTCCCCTTGGGTTGGCCGAAGGGCAATAGATGCCCAGGGAACCTCACTTTGCTTGGAACGAGATGGGGAGGAGGTTCGGGGGCCGTCACTCTGGGTCGGCCGGAGGGGAAAGGAGGCCCAGGGTATGTCTTTGTTAGTGCGATGGGGAGAAGAATTCCTGGGGTTGTTCCGCTGAGCGGAGCGATGGGGAGACGCTGGTCCAGGATTGTTCTGTTGGGTGCAGCACTGAGGGGAGGAGCCTCCGGGGTTGTCCCGCCGCACAGAAGAGGACTGCGGGGTGTCCCGCTGGGTGGAGGAGGTTCTGGGGGTGTTCTGCTGAACACAAGAAGTTCTGGAGTTTTCCCGCTGGGTGGTTCTGTTGGGAGAGGAACCTCTGGGGTTGTCCCGCTGGGCACAGGGCGTTCTAGAATTTTCCCGCTGGACGGTTCTGTTGGGAGAGGAACCTCTGGGGTTGTCCCGCTGGGCGCAGGATGTTCTAGAGTTTTCCCGCTGGGTGGTTCTGTTGGGAGAAGAACCTCTGGGGTTGTCCCGCTGGGCACAGGATGTTCTAGAGTTTTCCCGCTGGGTGGTTCTGTTGGGAGAGGAACCTCTGGGGTTGTCCCGCTGGGCACAGGATGTTCTAGAGTTTTCCCGCTGGGTGGTTCTGTTGGGAGAGGAACCTCTGGGGTTGTCCCGCTGGGTGCAGGATGTTCTAGAGTTTTCCCGCTGGGTGGTTCTGTTGGGAGAAGAACCTCTGGGGTTGTCCCGCTGGGCACAGGATGTTCTAGAGTTTTCCCGCTGGGTGGTTCTGTTGGGAGAGGAACCTCTGGGGTTGTCCCGCTGGGCACAGGGCGTTCTAGAGTTTTCCCGCTGGGTGGTTCTGTTGGGAGAGGAACCTCTGGGGTTGTCCCGCTGGGCACAGGGCGTTCTAGAGTTTTCCGGTTGGGAAGTACATGTAGAAAAAGAAGTCTGAGGGTTGTCCTGTTGGGCAGCTCTAGGGGAAGAAGACACCCGAGGACTGCTGCGTTGAGTGGATGAGGTTCTGGGGTGATCCCGTTGGGTGATTCTTGAGGGTGAGGACGTTCTGGGGGTGCTCCGCTGCGTGGAAGAAGTCCTGGGGGTGTCCTGTTGGGTGGACGAGGTTCTGGAGTGGTCCCGTTGGGCTGTTTGGGAGGGAGAGGACGCTCGGGGGGTGTCGAGTTGTACGGAAGCTGTCTGGGCAACATCCCTCTGGGCAGAGCGGTGGAGAGAGGAAGCCTGGGGGGTGGTACTTCGAGGTCCGCCTTGTGATGTCACAGAGGAAGCCTGGGTTAGCACAGACCGGTGCCGCTCCAAGAAGGACCCACTCTCTCCCCGGAGCTTTGCCCAGTGCTGTCCGGCACTTCGGCTCCCGCCACCAGTATCTAGAGAGGAGAGGCAGGGCTAAGGTAAAGGTGCCCCAAGAGGGACGCCAAAGAGTTCCTAGCATCTTGCATTTGGCTAATTCCTCCTGGGCCTGGGCTCCCTGCCTGTAATCTGGGACTCTGCCACCAGGTGGACAGTGGTGACTGCCTTTGACCAAGCAGATCACAAAGTGAGGCTCCCCCACCCCTGCCCATGCGTTTAGGAGCACAAAAGCAGGTATTTAGTACAACATCCTGCCTGCGGATCACACCGGTGCACCAGGGAGGCTTCGGCTCCCATGTTATTGCGTCTCCCCAGGGCCTGAGGGGGCAGGGCAGCGGGGCGGGGCAGTGAGGTGATCCCATGAATGTTTGAAAAGATGGCTCCAGCTGCTGTGGGGGATGGACTGAAGGGGGCCAGGCAGAAACCGGAGAGCTTGAGGGGCCCTGGCAACATGCTGGCCAGGGGCAGCAGTGGCTGGGCCGCGAGTGATGTAGGTGGCACGAAGGGGACAGACTGGAGGTGTGTTCGAAGGCAGGGCGGCCCAGCTGTTGATGACTGTATGTAACGGTGGAGAGAGGAATCAGGGCAACACGAGAACTGGGGCCTGAGCCGCTGGGCTAGTGGTCACAGGAACAGACTGCAGGAGAAACAGGGTTGGGGGGAGGGTCAGGTTGCTGGTGGCCCCACGCCAGCCATCTCTCCACCCCTCTCCCTGTTCCTCATGCTCCCATCACCCATTTCCCCTGCTCCTCAAACCCCCTGTCCGCTCCTTGGGGCCTCTGCACAGGCTGTTCTTCTGCATATGAATTCAGATCTCAGCTACAATGTCGCCGCCCCCAGCCCCCCAGAGAGGCCCTCCCTGTCCTCCTGGCTACTCGGTCTCAATTTCCTGTCTTAATTCTCCAAAAATTAGTTATAACTCTCTGATTTGGCTTTTCCACTTGCTGTCTGTCAGCCCCCCTCCACTGGAGTGCCAGCTCCATAGGGGGGGCTTGTGTTTCTTGCTCGGCTTCTCCAGCTCTAGGTCAAGGCCTGGCACACAGTAGGCGCATAATAAATACTTATCGAATGAGTGAAATGAAAAGGCTGTGTTGAGTTTGAGGTGCTCTCATACACCCCAGTGAAGAGGCCAGTTGTACAATGAACTAAATGGAGGTCAGGGGAGAAATCAAGGCCAGAAGTGTAGAGTCAGATGTTGATTTCTCCAGATGGTGTTGAAAGCCAGGTGTTGTCAAATTGTAGGGAGAAAACAGAAGGGAGCCCAAGGACTGAGCTCTGGGGCATCCATATTTGAAGGTCAAGCAGAGAAGAGGCATCAGCAAAGGACAGCGAGGAGTGGCCAGTGAAGAAGGTTCTGACCTGTCGCCTAGCACCCCGGCCCCAGCCTCTTCCCCGGGGCTCTAGATCCACCTTGGCCAACACTGCCTGCACCCCTCCCCAGCTCTCTACTGTCAGCAAAAGGTGTCGCCATCCACACAGACACCCAGACCAGGAGATGGGACCGTGTATACTCCTATCCCCAGTCCCATCAAGTCCACCTCCTAAATCTCCTTCTGTCCCCAACTCACCCACAACCACTGCCCTAATTCAGGTTTCTCCATCTGTCACCTAGACAACTGCAGCTACAGAAGGGTCACAGGAATGGCACGTCCATCACCCATATAGCAAATCTTCACCCAGAGTTACTAGCTGTTCACAGTTTATCACATAGGCTTTGTCCACCCGTCACCCATCTACCTACCTGTCATTTAACCTGTCTCTCTCTCTCCCTATTATCTGTCTATCTCATTGAACCGTGTGAGAGTCGAAGACCTCATGACACTTCACCTCTAATGCATCTCCGAAGAGCAAGGACCATCTCCTTCTGTTCTCACACTCAGGAAACCAACACTGTCACCAAACACACACTTCGTCCCCCGATTTCCCGCTGTCCCAATAACGTCTCCCTTCGCTAGAACTTTTCCTACCCTTGATCCAGTCCAGGATCCCTCATAGCATTTTGCTTCCTTGTCTCTGTTGCCTCTTTAATGCGAGACGAACTCCCCAGGCCTTTCTTGTCTGTTATAAAGAGTCCTGTCGCCCTGGCCAGTTTGGCTCAGCGGTTAGAGCGTCGGCCTGCGGTCCAAAGAAAACCGGGTTCGGTTCTCGCTAAGGGCACGTACCTTGGTTGCAGTTTGTCCCCGGCCCTGGTTGGTTCATGCGGGAGGCAGCCACTCGATGTGTCCCTTTCACGTCGATGTTTCTCTCTCTCCCCCTCCCACTCTATCCGAACAAAAAAATGTCCTCGGGTGAGGATTAAAAAAAAAAAAAAGAATATTTGTTTTTTTAAAAAAAGAGTCCTGCCCAGCCAGTGTGGCTCAGTGGACTGCCAGGTCCTGGTTCCGGATCAGGGCACACGTCTGGGTTGTGGGCTTGATCCCCAGTAGGGGGCGTGCAGAAGGCAGTCAATCCATGTTTCTCTCTCACATCAATGTTTCTATCTCTCCCTTAAAAAAAAATCAATAAAAATGAAGGAAATCTTTAAAAATTATTTTTAAAAAGAGTACTGTCAGGCCCTGGCCAGGTAGCTCGATTGGTTAGAGTGTCGTCTGGATACACCAACATTTCGGGTTTGATCCCCAGTCATGGCACGTACAAGTCAACTAATGAATGCAGAAATAAATGGACCAACAAAGGAAGAGAGATGTTTCTCTCTCTCCCTTCCTCCCCCTCTCTCTAAAATCAATAAATTAAAAATAAAATAAAAGGAGTCCTGTCAGTTACTTTGCAAACTGCCCCTTGGTTTGGGCTTGCCTGATGTTTTGCTGGGATTGGATGCAGGCAGCACATTTTCAGCAAGAAGACTTGGAAAGGATGCCATGTCCTCCCCAGCGTATTACATGGGGCACCTGATGCCGCTTACCCCCGCTGGGAGGCCGAGTGGCCGCTTGGTTAAGGCAGATCTGCCAGATCTTCCCATCCCAAGGGTGCCTTTCCCCTCTGTAATCGATGTGTAATTTGAGGGTTACTACTCTGAGACCATGTGAATATCCTGTTCCCTGACAACCCTTCACCCAGGAATTTAGCATCAGCCGGTGATTTGTATCTAAATTAGTTATCACTACAATGGCTGCAACAGCAGCTGCGATAGCCCGTTTACTGGTTTCTCACCCTTCAGCCTCACCCTGCTCCACTTCATCCTGTGCCCTGGTGAACTTCTTTAGCCATAGGTCTAATCATAACATTCTCCTCCTCAAAAACCTCCTGTGGCTCCCTACTGCTCAGAGAAGTAAGTCCAAACGCCTTGGCCCAGTGTGGTCTGACCCAGTTGTGCGTCCCCATCTATGCTCATGCTTACATCCCAGGTTACTCCCATTCGCACCTCGAGCCTTTGCCTGGGCTGTGTCCTCAGCTACAGCGCCTGTCCAGGAGGCACCCTCTGTGAGCCCCTCCCTGGTGGAGAGAAGCTGTTTGTCCTCTGCCCCCACCCAGCCCCTGGCTCTCCTCCGTCCTGGGCTGCTGTTCGTCTCCCGTCTGACGCTGTGCTGGATGGTGAGCTGTCTGGGGCAGGGACATCTAGTTCCTCCTGAACACCCACGGTGTCTAGTTAGCACTGGCATGTTTGAGGACCGAATCTACAGGAGCCAGAGGAAGCCAGGACTGCCCCCGGGGTAGGACCTGGATAGCCTGGCCCACATCTCCAAATCCTGACAATGCTAAAGACACAATCAGTGCAGCAGCAATGGGAGGGCCCAAGCCTGGGAGCCAGCGCACTGGGCTCACGTGCCAGCAAGACGCTGACCTGCCTCATGGGCCTCTGTGGTCTTGGCCTGACCAGCAGCCTTGTCCCTCTTTTGGGGAACACCACCACCCTGGTTTCCTTTCTGCCATCTCCTCTTCCCCATTCTCTTTCTCTCTCTCTTTTTTAAGTTTATTTAGATTGTTTCACTTTCATACTCACGAAAAAATAGCCGGTGGCATGAGTCAAATTGCCGGTCAATCCTCTTCCCCACTCTCAAACCACAAGGTTTGCACAGGGGGGCTGACCCTATCCCTGCTCACCAGGCTGGACACATGACCCATGCTGGGTCCCAGGGAGAGCCCCTCCTAGGAGTGTAGCTTCGTCTGCCGGGAAGATTGTACCTTCTGTCTGGGGAGGTTGATAAACAAGTGGGACAAAGCCTGGCACTGCTGTGCTCATCACGTCTGCGGGGGAGGGTCGGCTGGGAATGCAGCCACACGGAAGGAAGCCGAGCGAGGCAGGGTTCCGATACCCTGTGGCACCAGGATCCAGCTGCGCCTGAGGTCATCTCCCCCTAGATGTTTACTCAGCCAGTGTGAGAGAATGTACCGAAAGCAGGTTGATGGCACATCATGCCCGCTCCATAATTACGTGGGACTGTCACTATTATTAAGACTTGAGCCACCAAAGTAAGACATGCCCAGGGGCCCGGATGCCAGTGAGATGGCTATCTGGCCCCTAGCAATCACCACCGCCGTGACCACAGGGACCAGTCTGGTCTGTCAGAAGGACTCACCCTCCTTTCTTTGGCCCGCAGTGTCTCCTCCCACAGGGGACCGGGTGAGGACAGACGGAGCCCTTTGGGCACTGTCAGCTCTTGACCCCTCCTGCAGCTTCCGAGGGATCATCGCGGTGAACTTGTCCCAGCTGGGGGCCTCCTCCTGCCTTCCGACAATGTCCCAGTCCTGCCAGGGAAGGAGAGGAGAAAGCGTGCTTGGAGATTAAGGAGAGATCCGGGCTGGCGCCCCCAGTGTGAGATGATCAGAGGGAAGGGAAAGGACCCGGCGTGGAAAGGGCACCTGCGTACACCCACCACTGTGCTGGGCTCTCTGCAGGTGTAAACTCAGCGGTCTTCCATCCACCCCTGGGTAGGCAGTCTGTGCAGCTACACCTTGCCCAGTGGGAAATGGTTGACATGGGAGGACCTGAGCCAGGGCAGTCAAACACCATGTGATAGGAGGCCTCGGCGTAGCTGTCCCCCGCCCCAGGACAGCCCCAGGACCCAGAGGGAAATGGGTCGAAGCCCTGCCCTACCAGTTCCCAGACATTATTATGGCTTCAACTAAGTTGCTTCCCTCCTCTGAGTCTCAGCTTTCTTACCCCAAAACAGGGCCATGGGGGTGGGGGGTGAGGAGCCTTCCTGAGCCCGTGCTCCCATCTCGTTACTTCCCCTCGCGGTCTTACAGATAGCCTGCCTCTTCCACCCTGGGACAGCCCTTGGAGGGGTGAATGCCCGGAAGTTCCCCCGAGTCTCCTCTGCTCCCAGCCCTAGCCAGGCCCCCCAGCCTGCTCCCTTCCCTCTGTCCTCTGGCAGGGCTGGTCATGGGGCTCAGTGGTGTGTGACCAAGGCAGGACCAAGGACCAAGTCTATCCTTCCTCTGGACAAACATCCCAAATCCTGGCCCTCTGTGGCCAGTGGCCTGAGAGTTTTGGGCAGCCTGAGCCCGCTGGTGATTCACATGGAGCTCCCCATCAACTGAAACGCCTTTTCATAGGCAGCCCCCCAGCCCTCCTGCGCCACCCCTGCAGGGACCCCTACCTCTCCCAGGTGGGTGGTCTGGGTGGCCTGAGGTGCCCACTAAGAGTCCAGAGGCCCTTGGCCTGGGTCCTTGGCGTAGAGGCTTGGGCCTTCTCTGGGAGCTCGGGGCTGGCACAGAGGTGAGCTGCCCTTGCCCTTGGCCTCCCACCCCCAGCTCACCACAGAGGACGAGTTGCTGGTATCATCAGGGGTGTCGCAGTCAGGGCTGGAGCTGGTGCCAGAGTCAGGGCCCTCGTCGAAGCTGCCACACAGGGAGGAGGCCAGGCCCTCCAGATAGGGCACTGCCTCGGGGTCCCAGCTCCTGCTCCTGGGGGTGGCTGTGGGGCCCTCTGCAGGGAGCCCTGCTGATGGGCCCCTGAGAGAGGAGAGAGACCCATGACTTTTCCCCCAAAAGTAATGGGAATTAAGGAGTAACACCCCCACCCAGGTACACACACACCTCACGTCACAGGAAGAGGGAGCTGCCACCAAGTGCGCTCTGTGCTGGGCTGCCTGGTTTAGCTTCAGCAGCCTCCCTTTGAAATGAGTGTAATGATACCCATTTTACAGATGAAGAAACTGAGGCTCAGAGAGACCAAGGGACTGGCCAAAGTCACAGATCTAGGAAAGGGCAGAGCTGCACTGTGGCCCCAGCCCCAACCTTCTGTCGTTGGAGCAGAAGTGAAGACCCAAGCTCAGCAAGACAGACAGAATTGTGCTGAGCCAATGGAGTGGCCCTGAGAGGGAGCAGAGCTCCTGGGGCAGTGCCAGGGCCACCAGTCTGGATGCCAAGGGAGGCAGCTGTAGAGAAAGCCCTGCTTTGGAGAAGCCAGTCAGGGTGGCCACAGGCCTTCATAGCTTGGAGCTGGCGATATCCCCAAAGAGGGACCTACAGATTGGCCTACGAGATGGAAATGCGTGCTGCCCCCGAAAAGAGGTCTGTGGCCACGTAAGTCTGGGCCCTACCACACGCGTCTACCTCCCCGCTCAGGAGCACCGTGCGTGCCTGCAAACGAGGCTTCCAACTTTTTCACCTCGGACTTTCTGAAATATATTTGATGGCAGCGCTTTTGATTTTTAAAAAAATGTCAACCTGTGAGGAACACATGTTCCCAAAGCAATGCTGATTTGGTTCAGTTCTTATTTTTTAAATGGGGAAACTGAGATACAAAAAGAGGTAATAACTTGCCCAAGGTCCCACAGCCCAAAAGGGTTAAACCCTCCGCCTTGCCCTCCCAAAGCACCTCAGCCCCATGGGGACTTCTCAGCTCAGGACTGGGGCAGAGGGAATCCCAGAGCCTGGAGCAGTGCAGTCAGGGGGTGGCTGATAAACCTGCTCGTTTTTAAAAGCTGTGCAATGGGAACAAGGAAATGTGAGCAGCTGTGAGTCATGTTCAGGCAGGTGGGTGCATTCTGTACCCTGCATCAAAGCTGAGTTAGGGCCCAAGGAACATGCCCACGGTGCCCAGCTGTATGGACTGACCATGTGACCCACAACAGCAGCCATCATAGACAGATGCTGTCATTGTGAAGGGGTATGAGGTGGGGTAGGTGAGGGCTACCCCAGAAAGTCCCTCCCCAGGACCTGAAGCTCTACCCACCTCTTGGATCCTGGCCCAATGCCAAGGCCCACCACAGACTGGCACTCAGAGGTCGAGGCACTGTGCGGGTCCTCAGAGGCAGGCGGGTGGCGGGGCAGGTCGCAGTAGGGTGCCTCAGCACTTGGAGGGCTCTCGGGCTCCTGGGACAGAGTTGCAGAGAGGAGGCACCTCATGGCCCACGTGGGGCCCCCTCCCCTGCGCGGCCCCTCCCCCCACCAGGCGGCGTGGAGTCTCCAGACGTCCCCGCCTGGGATCCCAGACTTCTCAAGGAGAGCTGTCCATCAGGCTGGAAGCGCCCCTGGGGACCCAAGCTGAGGGCTGGCCAAGGTACAGGGCGTGTGCATGCACACATGTGCACAGGTGTGTGTGCGCGTGTAAAGGCCTGTGTGTGTGCAACTGTGCATGCAAGGTTGGGGGTGCACTAGTGCACATGTTTGCATACGTGCATGTAAGATCGTTTACATGTGCGTTGGCACACATGTGGGTGTGTGCTTGAGGAGATGAGGGTTTTCTGTGGCTAGAAGACAAGGATGAGGAAGGAGGGTGAGGAGGAAGGATGAAACCAGCCTGGAGAGTGAGGGAGGAAGAGGAGGTCTGAGAGAGGAGATGGGCGGGAAGACCTCCTAGGAAAGGAGAGATTTGCCCACTAAAGGGCTGCAGGGGCTTCCGGGCTGGAGGGTCAAGGCCCCAGGGTGGAGGCGGAGGCCCCAGCCAACTGCTCGCTTCTCTATCCCTCCGCCCTGACCAAGGCCACACCTGTGAAGGCTGGTGCTGGGCTCACCCAGGGGGAACGGCTGCTCACCTCCGGGAAGGCCCCCCCACTCCTCCCCACCTACTGGGGTGGCAGGGCCCTCCCCTGGTGGTGGGAGACAGCGGCCACAGCACCCTGCACCCCGCCTCCTCTCCGGTTACCTGGGCGGCGGGCTCCTGCGGTGGCAGCTGGCGGCTGTCAGCACCCTTGTCCCCGGGGGGCTCCGGCTCAGGCCCCCACACTGCCGCCCTCCCAGGCCCCGACTCTGGGCCGTGGCGGCGGCCGAGGCAGCAGAAACCTTAGAGGGGCCGGCTGTGGGAGCAGGGGCCCCTCATTACTGTTTCATAAGCCGGGGCCCAGCCAAGAACAATGCAGGACATGAAACCACAGGAACCTGATCCCCACAGCTCACCTGAGAGCTGGCAGGGCGGGGGCCTGGGCATGGGCTCCCTGGGGACCCTGGAGTCCAGAGCTCAGGGCTGAGGCCACAGCCTGGCCACAGCCCCAGGGTGGGCACAATTTCTCTGTATTCCAAGAAGGTGGCCACTAGCAGGACCTGGGCAGGGCCAAGGAGTGGGGCCAGGGTGTCTGTCCTGCCATCCACGCCAGAGGAGCCAGTCTGGGTTCAGTTTCGCCCCCTGCCCTGGAGCCAGATTCTGATCAGAGCTCAGCAGCGGGAGGTGTCAGATCCACAGCCCGGCCTGGCGCCTTGGCCGCCCTGGGGACCTCACCGCGTGAACGAGGAGGGAGCAGCTTGCTGGGCATTGCCAAGGGGTCCCAGCCCAGCTGGACCCAACAAGACCCCCAGCCAGTCATGGCACCTCCTTTCTGCTCTCACCCCAGCCCCCATCACGACCCACTGCCCACTTGAGCAGGCCCAGCAGCCAGTCCCTGGCTCTGATTTCCTGTCTGGCGGGTCAGCACTGGCTCTGGCCTCAGACAGACATCAAGCCCAATCCTGGCGCCTCCACTTCCCAGCTGGGTGACCTCAGCCCTGTGGCTTCCCCTCTCTGAGTCTGGTTTTCTCGTCTCCAAAACTGGGATGATAAGAGGACCCATCTCCTAGGGGTGTCATGAGAATTAAATGAGTTAATATTTGTAAAGGGCTTAGAACAGTGCCTGGTCTATATATCTTAAATATAATAGATAATGTATAAATATTAAATAGAATTTTATTAGTGTTAAATTGATAGGTTAAATACACTTACGAATAAATACATTAAAAAGGGATGTATGGTGCCCGGCTGGTGTGGCACAGTGGTTGAGCGACGACCCATGCACCAAGAGGTCACCAGTTCGATTCCCAGTCAGGGCACGTGCCCAGGTTGTGGGCCAAATCCCCAGTGGGGGGCATGCAGGAGGCGGCCAATCGATGTTCTCTCTCATCGATGTTCCTATCTCTCTCTCTCCCTCTCCCTTCCTCTCTAAAATCAATAAAGAAAACAAAAAATAAAAAGGGATGTATGGGGCCTGGCACCCGGCACAACTCTTCCACCGTGGCCCCTCCCTCCCTCCAGACCTGGCTGTGACCTGGTCACGGCTTTGTGGTTTCCAGGGGAAGCCCTCCCCTGGCCTGTGGGACGTAGGGAGAGCAGAGCAGAGACAGATGGATCCCAGGGGAACTGGAACAAGCCTCAGGGAGGGACCTGGGCCATTCCCGCTATTCCAGGGAGGTGAGGATGTCAGGACTGGTCCGGTCCCCAGGAGATACCTTTACCAGGCCCCCAGGGAAGAGTTTGAGCCCAGGTGTAATTAGGGGTCCAGCGGGGACCGGCACAGCCCCTTCCAGGCTGGGGGATGCTTCTTTAACACACAGATTTTGTGACTCTATGTGTTTGAAACTGGGCATCCTTGAGTGTCATCAGTGTCACATCCTGATGACTCGAGAGCCTTAATCTCCCACTGAGGTCTGGCTCCTCAGCTCCGTAATTCAGTAACTTCCCTCATCTCCAGTGTGGCCCATGGGTACCTCTCACTCACCACCCCAAACCACTCCAGATAGGTCTCCTGTCCCAAGTACCTGCCTCAGGAAATAACTTAGAAATCAGCCATGTTCCACCCGCCCCGTGTTTCTCTCCATCTCAAAATCTCCATCATCTCTGGCACGAGGAGTTGCACCTTTCCCTCACTGGTCACCTTGATTTATTCTCATGCGCTGCACTCCATCCTCTGCCCTGCAGTCCAAAGTGACTTTGGAAAATGCAAATCTAATCACATCACTCCCACTTAAAATCTTCAGGGGCCCCCATGCCTCTCAGGAAAGTCCAGCGTCAGCATGGCTATAGGGCCCCACAAGGCCTGGTGGAACCAGCCTCCACCCCAATCTCCACTGTTGTCCTGGAGTTCCCGTGCCCCTTCCTCTCAGTGGCCTCTCCATCTTCCAATGTGTCTCCTCCTTTCTGTCTCAGGGCCTTTGCACCCACTGTTCCCTTCCTCTCCTCTTCCCCAACTTCACTGCCCTGTGTCCCCATAGCCTTTACCAAGCAGCTGACATGCCATTTCCTTGGATAAACCAATCATTTACCCTCATGCCACTGGCTGTTCCTTACAACCTTTACCACAACCACAGTTATTTGCATGATTGATTTCTTAGTCTCCACTTCTCTTGCTAGACTACAAGCCCCATGATCCAGGGACTGTGTCTGTATTAATTATCACTGTTTCCCCAGTGTCTAGCATAATGCCTAGCATGTGCTGAGCACCTATTCAATATGTGTGAACACGAGAACTGGCCCGAGGTCTCAGCCGGGAAGTGGGACTGAGACTAGAACCCAAACCTGTCTGAATCCAAATCTCTTCTCCTGCTCCCGACTTGCCATCTCCCCTCCCACTGGGAGAAGGTCATGTGCATGGGAGGTAGGCTCACTGAGCTTTCAGGCCCCTGTTCCCTGGCCTGAGGGGGAGGGGAGCTGTTACTGTAGGTATCAGGATAGGTAGAAAGCAATCTCCCAGGTTTGTTTTCCTGATCCGGAAGGAGGGAGAGGAAACCAGCGAGTATTGAATTAGCCACATGTGACTCAGGATAAGCAGTGCCAGATGCCCAGAGTGAGACTTGTTGTCCAACTTTACTCTTTAGGAGAATGAAGGCAGAGAGGGTAAATGACCCAAGGTCAAGGAAATGGCAAACCTAGCGCTGGAACTCTGGTCTGCATGGCCCCAAAGCCAAACGGGGACTCCTTTATTTTGATCACCTTGGAGCCAGACCCCCTGCATAGTGCTGGCTGCCAGGCCTAAGAGGAGCCCCAGGACCTCAGGGAATGACAGAGCCATATGGGTCAAGGCTGGGAGGCCGACGGAGACTCACAAGTCCCACGCTTCTCAGAGCATGTGTGCCAGGAGCTCTGGGTTTCTGTGTAGGGAGTATTGGCCTAAGTGAGAAAATGCTTCACTCCTTCAACACCTTCCAGGAGAAAGTCCGCAGTGGGCGCTGAATATCTGACGCCTCTCGAACAACAGCCAACCTCCCTTTTTAACAGACACAGCAGGACTCAGAGCCTTCAGCCAAATACTCTCTAGTTAGAATGTAAAGGCACTTCTGTTTTTGTCTTTTTCTTTCTTTCTAACCTTTTATATAAAGGATATGATCCTACTTGTGGCGGTGACGTAAAGTTTTGTTTTAGTATAAGTGAAAAAAAAGGGTTTTGATTTAAAGAATAAGGTAAGTAATGCATTACATGAGGCTATGGCAAAAAAAAGTCATAAAATAGGAGAATGATTAACATTTGGGAAACATTAACATGGTCCCACTATTTCATTGTACAGATGGGGAAATGGAGGCTCTGCCCAGGAGGAAAGCCAGTGTCTGGGTTCAGCTGCAAGTGAATGGCCTATTCAGGCCTGAGCCCGCCAAGCACTCCCCCACCCCAAACCACCCTGCCCGCTCAGGAAAGCCAGCCCACCTGGTGCCTTGCTCTGTGGGCCTCCTCGGGGTGGAAGCAGTTTTGACAGCAGCTCTGGGCAAGCACATTGGCCTCAAAGTGTTCGCAGGGGGCATTCCCGGCCTCCTCCTCCATAGTGGGTGAGTCAGGCCAGGGCAGCTCCTGCGATCCAGTGGAGGGGGCTGGGAAGAATGGAGCGGGGAGACAAGGACCAGCTGGCTGTCTAGCAGCGCACCTGGATCCCAGCCCCAGCTTGCCCCTGGACAAAGACCGAGGAAATAAGGTTATCCATCCATTTATTCATCTGTTCATGTATTCACTCAACAAACACTCATTAAACACCTACTAAGCACCAGGCACTCTGCCAAGCATTTGACATGTGATTTCTAGTCATTACTGCAGCATTGCTCCAAGTGGGTTCCGAGGACCCCGCATTAAACTCAGTAGAGCTATTTATAAAATGCATATTCCCAGTTCCCTCCCCAAATCCACCTAGTCAGAATCTCTCTGGAGGTAAGGCCTGGGGGTGTGCATTTTATTTTATTTAAAAAAATTTTTTTTTTCCTTTATTGATTTTAGAGAGAGAGGGAGGGAGAGGGAGGTAGGAACATCGATGAGAGAGAACATTGATTGCCCACCTCCTGCATGCCTCCCACTGGGGATTGGCTACAACCAGGGCATGTGCCCTGACCGGGAATCAAACCGGCAACTTCTTGGTGCCTGGGTCGATGCTCAACCACTGAGCCACACTGGCCGGACAAGGGGGTATGCATTTTAAACAAGTCTCCTGGGGGACTCATGCACCCCAAAAGTTGGAGTGTCTTTGCCTTATATTTATCCTGCACTGTGGATAAAATTAATGGCAGTTTCAGATGAGGGGAGAAAAGCTCATAGAGGTTCCATAACTTGCAATGTTCCTGTGGCTGAACTGGATTCAAACCCAGGTCTGTGTGCCTCCCTCCCCCCGTAGCCTCCCACACACACATACTAGGAGGTGGAAGTGAGGGGCACTGGATCACACTGCCAACACACACAGGTCCCTTGGGAAATATTGGGAGTGAGGCCAAAGGCCAGTCAGGTATTTTCAGAGTTGAGGACAGTCACGGACAAAAGTGAACAACCTGACGTCACAAAGAGGTTTGTGGCAGAGCCTGGCCAAAGAGAAACCCTGGTGTTCCGACCTGCACACATGGCTGTCCCTTCTGTGCCACCGAGAGCTCCAATACCATGCCCTGGGAGGAAGTCCCAACAGAAGAGTGACTTGAAGATGCCCTCCTAACCCACACAGAACCCCAGGAGGGGATAGGGGTGAGGGAAATCCATATTCCCAAACACACATGCCCCTTACTGTGTCCCCGAGTCATCGCCCATACCTTCCTCATCTGGAGAAGCTCCACATCATCCCAGGGGATCAGGCCCTCATTGCCAATCTCACCTGCCAGCTGGGGAATCTCACATCCTCCCCCAGGGCAGCCAGGGCAAAGGTTCTTGGCCCTTCCACCATCAAACCTGGGGAGGTGGCAGGGCACGGTCTGTGGACGTGGGGGGGCCACCCACTGGCTCCTCGGTGGCCTGGGGTCTCCGATTCTCTCTGGGATCTTCTCCCAGCATCGCTCCCTGCTGCCAGTGGTAGAAGGGGCGTGAATCCGTCCTGCCCAGCCTGGGCATTCTTTCCCAGTCCGGCCACATAAAGGAATATCTCCTCAAATGGAGACCACCGCTCATTTCCCTGGGGGTGGATGTGGAGGGCTCTACTCCACGTCCCCCTCACTGCTCCCGCTTTTCCCCCCAACTCCCAACCAGTTGGTAGACTCCTCTGCCATGCACTTTAGCTATGGATATAGCAATGAAAAAGCTTCATATGACACGGATGCCCCACCCGGAGATTGGACCCCTGTACCTCTCTCCATCCAGCCAGTCAGTCCCTCCCTGTATCCCTCACCCCTCTACTTTTCCCCTCTTATCCTCCTCCCCTCCACCCTTTCTGCTACGCTGTACATACTAACCTCGGGTCGGGTTTCCACGCACCGGGGGTGCTGAGGTCACAGCCTCTTTATTTTAACAATGAATCAGAACATTGCCCGGGAGGTGGACAAAGACCACGCCCCTGCCACTCTCTCATAGGCTCTCTCTAGGTTCTTTATTTACATGAAGACTGTGAGATTGGACAATCTGAGAACAAGAGGCGGGGTAGAGGTGGGCGGTGCCCAGAGTCCTCTGAGTGCAGGACCAGACGCACGTTTGGCCTGAGCAGCCAGTCCGGATCCTAAGAGGCCCCTTCTGATCTCTTTACCTGTGGTTCCTTCCTGTACAGTCTCCTAACCTGGACTTTGCCTAGACCTTGGGCTAGAGTAGTAACTTCTCTGTGCCTCAGTTTTCCAATTTGTAAAACGGGGGTAGTAATATCACCTCTAAGGATAAATGAAATGCCCAAGGGTTTTCAACCTCTGTTTGCACATTTCCACTGATGTGATGCTCACTCAAATGCATAGCTCTCCCTTTAAAAAAGTATACCATTTTGGCCCTGGCCAGTTTGGTTCAACAGTTTGAGTGTCAGCCTGTGTAGCAGAGTCACGGGTTCGATTTCAGTCAAAGGGCATGTACTTCAGTTGCTGTTCAGTTCAAGCCCTGGTCAGGGTCATTTGGGAGGCAACCAATTGATGTGTCTCTCTCACATCAATGTTTCTCTCTCTCCTCGTCCTACTCTATCTGAAGATAAAATGGAAAAATATCCTGGGGTGAGGATTAAAAAAAAAAAAAAGCCTAACATTTTGGCCTGGTCAGTGTGGCTCAGTTGCTTAGAGAGTCGTCCCATACACCAAAAGGTCTTGGGTTTGATTCCCGGTCAGGGCACATATCCGGGTTGCAGTTTCGGTCCTGCACTTATGAGAGTTGATGTTTCTCTTTCACATGGATGTTTTTCTGTCTCTCCCTTCCTCTCTCTAAAATCAATAAAACATATCCTTGGTTGAGGGTTAAAAATAAATAAATAGCCTGGACAATGTGGCTCGGTGGTTGAGCGTCGACCATGTACCAAGAGGTTGCCAGTTCGCTTCCTGGTCAGGGCACATGCCCAGGTTGTGGGTCAAATCCCCAGTGGGGGGCATGCAGGAGGTGGCCAATCAATGTTCTCTCATTGATGTTTCTCTCTATCTTCCTCACTCTCTAAAATCAATAAAGAAAAAATATTTTAAAAAATAAATTGTCTAACATTAAATATATATACGTATATATATATATATGTATATTTTATTGATTTTTTAGAGATAGGGGAGAGATAGAAACATTGATGTCAGAGAGATACATCAATCGACTGCCTCCTACACACCTCCTACTGGGGATTTATAGCCCACAACCCTGGCATGTGCCCTGACAAGGAATCAAACTGAGACCTCTCAGTCCACAGGGTGGCGCTCAATCCACCGAACCACACTGGCTGGGCAAAAGTCTAACATTTTAATTTTTATTTTTTATCCTCACCCAAGGACATTTTTCCACTTTTTGTTCAGATAGAGTGGGAGGGAGAGAGAGGAAGAGAGACAGAGAAACATCGACGTGAAAGGACACATCGAGTGGCTGCCACCCACACGACCAGCCAGGACCAGGGACAAATTGCAACCAAGGTACGCGTCCTTAGCGGGAACCGAACCCGGGTCTCTCTGGACCACAGGTTGATGCTCTAACTGCTGAGCCCAACTGGCTAGGACAAAAGTCTAACATTTTTAAAGCTAACACTTTTCTGCACTATGTAGCATCTCCTAGTCCAAAATCTCTACATTCATGAAGACATAGTAATATGTAATATTAAGTTCCAAGATCTTCATTTCACAGCAACTGAGGATCAAAGAAATGAACTAACTTTCCAGTGTCACACAACTAGTAAGTGGCAGTAAGTGTGTATATGTCTCCACCAGCGTCCACAGAACATCTTCACTAATTCAGTCAGACATTCACATGTGTCTGGTATAGCTATGTGTGAGCTGGGTACTGGGAGAATGGTAACCTGAATAAAATGTGGCTCCTGAGATGAGGAGCCTACTGGCCAGTGGGAGAGGCAGCTTCTAAAGAGGTCATTCTGGGCCAGGATGGAACAGATGAAGATACAGCTTCATAACAAGAATAAACTTTCTGCTTGGTCCCAATACTGTAAGCAAAGCAGGGAGTAGTGAGACTCATGTTTACTATCTGGCTCTAGCACTCCCTGGCTGTGTGATCTTGAGAAATTTCCTTGACCTCTCTGAGCCTAGAGTGGGGTAGGCACTCAGTTTAAGTTCAAAACTCAGGTTATGGTCCCAGCCTTCTAGTCCCCACCCATCAATAAAACCTGAAGCCAATTCAGAGTGGCCCTCCTAACAATTCATTACTTATGGATCCCTTATTTTTGTCACTGAGGATACATCAGTGAACAAAAGATCAAATCTCCTACTTTTGTTACACATTTTAGTGGAGACAGACTATAGATAAATAAGCAACATATGGAGTATGTTGGCTGGTGATGGGCGCTAAGGAGAAAAATGAAGCAGGGAGGGGGTTGGAAGCGGCTGGTGTGGTCGGGGAAGGCCCCACTGAGATGGTGACATCTGGATAGACCTGGAGAAGCTGGGGCAGTGAGCATGCAGGTCCTGGGGAAGAGCGTTGTTAGCCGAGGGGACAGATGCAGAGGCTGGAGTGGAAAGACTGAGGGAGAGAGGGGAGAGTCAGGGGCAGGTTGGTGGGTCGGCCTGAGCACTCCCCCTAGCTAAGGAGCTGCCGAGTTGCACCCCTCTGTGGGAGGGCTCAGGGTTAGGGTGTAATGGTGGAAGCCAAGGCAGCATCACCACTTGTCACCATTTAGTCCCAGCCTCACATCCCCCTTTCTACCCCCTGGTCTGTCCCTGCTTATCTCCACCCTTGCTCCTGCCATTTCCTGTGCCTGGGACACCCCTCTCTGGAGAGCTAGGGAAGCAGAACGAGCACTGAGGGTTCTGTTCCCGCTCTACCCAACTGAGCCTCGGCTTCCTCTGTCAAGTGGAAATGGTCACCCCAGCCCTCCCTGCCCACAGGCCTGATGGAGAATCACGTGCTCTGGGCAGGCAAGATAGAGACACAGTGGCCGTGGCCCAATGGAGCAGGGCAGGAAGGCACAAGTCTCTAAAACGGTCATTAGGGCCTGACCGTGTGGCTCAGTGGTTGAGTGTTGACCCACACACTGAGAGGTCACTGGTTTGATTTCCGGTCAAGGCACAAGCCCAGGTTGTGGGCCCGATCCCCAATGGGGGGCATGCAGGAGGTGGCCAATCCATGTTCTCTCATCAATATTTCTTTGTGTTTTTTTTTATCCTCACCCAAGGACATTTTCCCATTTTTTGTTCCTATAGAGTGGGAGGGAGAGAGAGAGAGAGAAACATCGACGTCAAAGGGACACATCGAGTGGTTGCCACCTGCACAACCCAACCAGGGCCGGGGACAAACTGCAACCTAGGTACGTGCCCTTAGCAGGAACCGAACCCAGGACTCTCTGGACCGCAGGCCAACGCTCTAACTGCGGAGTCAAACTGGCCAGTGCTCTCATCAATGTTTCTCTCTCTCTCTCTCTCTCTCTCTCCCTTCCTCCCTCTTTAAAATCAATAAAGAAAAAAACATTTCTTTAAATAAAAGGATCATCAGGGCTGGCTGCAGCCCGTGGCTACCCTGCATAGCGGTGATTCAAAGTGACCAGCTTGCTTTTACTGACCCCGTTAGAAACTCATTCCTTGATAAAGCTCCTAGAGACCTCAACCCACGGGGCCCACAGGATGGGAGCAACAGGAGTTAAGCAAGCAGACGTGGAGCATGGAGAGAGGAGCTCCTGGGAGAACACACGCTCTGCTCTCCGGAGGGTTCTGATTCCACCACGCCTGATCCGAGGGCAGGCAAACCACGTGACTATGTCCTTGGTCTGCTGGAAGAACTAGTGGCACACACAGGAGAGAGTGATGAGAATATAACAAACATTGCAAACTGCACATGTAAGTTGCAAATGACCCCATGTCACTGGGGATGGGAAGAGACCCAGGTCAGATGTCTCAACAGTCAGCAGCAGCCGCACACACACTGAAGGGGAACACACACAGCCCTAAGAGGTAGGTGTCCTGTCATCCTCCACACGGGGAATAGACCCAGAGAAGTTAGCCCAGCGAGGAGCTCAGACAGTGGTCAAAGGGCAGAGTCAAGATTCAAACCTAAACCCTGCTGTGTGCACTGACCCCCAGGCCTAGTCCTGTCCACGCTCACAGGGGCCTCTGAGGACAAGGCGCACACTTGGCTTTCCGGGGTTGAGTACCAGAACAACCTCGAGAGCCTGGTAACGGGCTCTGCCCTGGATAGAAGTAACCAAGCAGGGAGTCACCTGAACCAAGCACTGGGGAGGACAACCAGAAGGCAACAAGAACAGGAGGAAGAAGCTGAGAGGCCAGGTCATGGGGCCTCCTGGCCACAAGCTCTGAGCTTTGCATTCCCATGCCCAGGTGTGGCCTTCAAACCTACATCAGCCATCATCAGCCATCACCAGATAGTAGGTTTTGATGGTGACATGGGAAAGCACCTGCCCACCTCCAGGTACAGCCTACCAGAGGCACTCTTCCTGAGCCTGCCCAGTGGCGAGGTGGGACTACTCCTGGAATGCCTTCCATGGGGGGCGGGGGGCTGCCCCACAGACATCAGCTCCCTCTCCTCCAGGAGTCTCCCACACCCCAAGGCCACAGACCCTGCAGCTGTGCTCCCATCACAGCACTCCCCTGTCACCTTGACCATCTCTCTCACTAGTCATGAACTTCATGGGGGACGAGACAACATCTTACTTCCCTTCCAGTCCTAGTGTTACAGCCCAACATGGGCCCCCTAACCAGGGTACCATACGAAATCCCTGTGCCCCCAGCTCAGAATCCCAGAAACCAGTAAGTGGCAAGGGGGAGTCTAACGATGCTCCAGAACAGTGTTCTGGTGTCCTCAATGGTACCATATCTACCTTTCGCAAGTGGATCCTGCCAAGGGCCCTTCTTGGTCAGGGGAGCAGCAGAATGCATGAGGCACATCACTAATAAGTTGGGACAAGAAAGGGACAAGGCAGGTTTGCATCAGCTCTGAAGATCTGGAAGGCATGTGAAGAAGCCTTGCAGAACGCCAGCTGGACTCCTGAGGGGTCTGCTGGGAAAGGGCCACACTTTCAGGGAAGATGCACCTTCCTTACAAAGGGTCAATCGGCCCGGTCAGTGTCACTCAGTGGCTGAGCGTTGTCCCGTGGACTAAGAAGTCCAAGTTCGATTCCTGGTCAGGGCACATGCCCAGGTTGCAGGCTCAATCCCTGGTAGGGGGCGTGCAGGAGGCAGCTGATTGGTGTATCTCTCACATCGATGTTTCTATCTCTCTCTTCCTTCCTCTCTCTCAAAAAATCAATAAAAACAGCCCTGGCTGGTTTGGCTCAGTGGTTAGAGCATCGGCCTGCAGTCCAGAGAGACCCGGGTTCCATTCCCGCTAAGGACATGTACTTCGGTTGCAGTTTGTCCCCGGCCCTGGTTGGGTAGTGCAAGTGGCAACCACTTGATGTGTCCCTTTCACATAAATGTTTCTCTCTCTCTCCCCCTCCTACTCTATCTGAACAAAATATGGAAAAATGTCCTCGGGTGAGGATAAAAAAAAAACATATTTAAAAATAAATAAAATAAAGAGTTAATCACTCCTGAGCCTGGAAGCTGCCCCAGTTTGGGGGTGGGGAATGCTCCAGGAGTCATCTGTTTCCACCACCTCAGCTGAGGAGACGAAGAAGACCAAGGAGAAGTGACAGGCTCCAAGTCTCCAGCAGTAGAGGGCAGGGCTTGGCACTGTTCACCCACCTTTCCCAGCTGCCCACTTTTCAGAGCAGCAGGTGGACTCTGGATTCTACCAGTGGTGATGCTGGCCTGCACCCCTGGTTAGGGCCCAGATCTGACACTGCCTTTTCTCACCCACAGGGAAAAGAGCTGGACGGCGAGGATGGACCCAACTCCCTGACCATGCCCACCACCCCAGAAGCCTACCCTTGGTGGATGGCATCGGGGACAAACAAACCACAGTGCACTTGGTTCCAAAAATCTGATGCAGGCCCAGTGAGGTACACATTTGGGAAGACGTGCCAGAGGAGGCTCGGAAGGTCCCTCCTGAAGGAGGCCAGTTCTCCACTGCCTGCTACCTCTGGGTAAAAGCCCAGACAGCAGTGCAGCCTGGGTTATGAGGACAGATCCTTGAGGCCCAGGCTGGGGCCTGGCTTGGTCTCAGGCTCACTCTCCGCTGTGCTGGGCTTTGCCGGTCAGCCGGCGGCGCTGGGTCTTGCTGGTACGAGTGGCACTGGGGGGCTTCTTGGTGGAGTCCTGGGCTCGCTGAGGATGTTTCTTCTTGACTTTTTTGCGACTGTGTGCATGCAGCGATGCCGTGAGAGAGGAAATCCTGTGGGAAGACAGAAGGCTAGTGAGGCTAGGGCCTCAGTTTACCCTTGGGTACAGGGTATAAGTGAAAGGTTGGGTTGGTGGTGACTGACAGCCCAGTTCATGAAGAGAAAGTCAGGACAAGCCTTGAGTATTGGGAGTACCAAGTCCATTCCAAAGGCAGCCTGCTCTGACCCCGGATGGCCTGCCAGCTCCTTAGCTCAGAGAGAAATGCCCCTACCCCAGACATGAAGGGCTCCAAGGTCAGGCGTTCTTGGGGGATGGGGGGAGGGGACAGTGAGAAGCTGAGGACCACTTGACAGGCAGAGTAGAGGGCTGCTCTGGCCCCACACCTGCCCAGCAGGAGGTGGCTCTGCAGGCCAGGTCACCAACACCAGCTGTGCAGAGCAGGTCACAGGGGACAGGCCAGGGCTCACCGCTGAGATAGCAGGGGTTCTTTGGACTTCCTGGGGAAGGCTTTGGTCGGCTTCTCCATGGATGACGCCTCCTCCTCAGACCTGGGCCCGGCCCCTTGCTAAAGAAGCATAGGACAGACTGTCATAGAGAGCAATAAAGTGGGAAGCCTGGGCAATCATGGCTCTGTCAAGTGGGGACACAGTTCCTTGCCTCCCAGGCTTGGGCCAGGGCTCAGGGAAGGTCATGTGTGCCCTGGAGCAGGAATTACGCAGGAGAGAACTGTGTTTCAGAGTCCTCCACTGCCTCAGTTTCCAGTGGACACTCAACACTCACAGATGGAAGAACTCTAAAATGGGGACAAAACTTGTCTTTGCATCAGACCTTTCAGAAGATGGAGTACAAAGTAAAAGGTGAATATAAAATGTGATAAAGTAGCCTGGTTAGTGTGGCCCAGTGGTTTAGTGTCGACCCATGCACCAAGGGGTCACCAGTTCGATTCCAGATCAGGGCACATGCCCAGATTGTGGGCCTGATCCCCAGTGGGGGGGCGTGCAAGAGGCGGCCAATTGATGTTCTCTCTCATCGATGTTTCTATCTCTATCTCTCTCTCCCTCTCCCTTCCTCTCTCTTTAAAATCAATAAAGGAAAATTATTTTTTAGAAAATATGATGAAGTAGTGGCTCCAGAACTTAAGCACACTGTAATCCATGATAGGAAATGTAGTTTACCTTGTAACTATGTATACACATGTATATAAACTCCTACACAACCGGGGCAGACACAACTTTAACTGAAAAAAACTTACCGTGATGCTTGCCGATGTTTTTATTTTTTATTTTTATTTATTTTATTTATTTTTTATTTTTTATTTATTTATTTTATTTTTATCCTCACCCGAGGATATTTTTGCATTTTTTGTACAGATAGAGTGGGAGGGAGAGAAAGGAAGGGAGAGAGAGAGAGAGAAACATCGACGTGAAGGGACACATCGAGTGGCTGCCACCCGCATGACCAACCAGGGCCGGGGACAAACTGCAACTGAAGTACGTGCCCTTAGCGGGAACCGAACCCGGGTCTCTCCGGACCACAGGCCAACGCTCTAACCTCTGAGCCAAACTGGCCAGGGCGCTTGCCGATGTTTTTAATAATTCTGTTATTTCTTTCTTTTTTTTATCCTCACCCGAGGACATTTTTCCATTTTTTGTTTAGATAGAGTGGGAGGGAGAGAGAGGAAGAGAGAGAGAGAGAGAGAAACATCTACGTGAAAGGGACACATCGAGTAGCCGCCACCCACAGACCCAACCAGGGCCAGGGACAAACTGCAGCCAAGGTACGTGCCCTTAGCGTTCCTGGGGAACCGAACCTGGGACTCTGGTCCACAGGCCGACGCTCTAACCGCTGAACCAAACAGGCCAGGGACTTTTCTTTTCTTTTTTAATTAATCCTCACCTGAGGATATTTTTCCATTGATTTTTTTTCTTTTTTTAATCCTCACTCGAGGATATTTTTACATTTATCCTCAGACGGGGGGTGGAGGGGCATCGATGTGAGAGAGACACATGGATTGGTTGCCACCCGCACAACCCCAACTGGGGCTGAGGACAAACCGCAGCCGAGGTAAGTGTTCTGACCAGGAATCGAACCCGCAACCTTTCAGTGTACAGGACGATGCTCCAACTAACTAAGCCAGGGCTATTTCTTGTTTTTTTAAATGCTGGTCGTAACCTGCTAATAACTCACAACCCATAGGTTGAAAACAGTCAGTGCGCACAGATGTGCCATGTAACTATCGCTGCTCATCACACAACGCGAGTGATCACAGTAAACTGCTATCTTCAGTGCTTCTCACGGGTTCACCACTTTTAACCTCTCAGCAATCCCACACAGCAGGTGCTCCGATCAGCGAACCTCAGTTTACGGATGAAGGGAAGAGGCAAGGCGAAGAGACGTCCAAGGTCCCATAGCTGCTCAGCAGTGGACCTGGCCTCAAGGATTCTGTCCAGGCCCAGAAGGGAAAAAACCCTTTACACTGGAATCTCCATGACACAGATCAGCACTTAATAACCCTTGACAAGCCAGGCTGCCCCTGTGTCCCTTCTTCCCCGGGGCTGGGAGTGACACTCACCTCAGGCAGGGGCAATCCAAGCAGCCGGGCCCCTGAGAGGTCTAGGTCACTGATGGTAGTCACAGTGACGGTGTGATTGGGGTGATCATACTGCACTGACTCTGTCTTTGCTGTCACCAACCGGTCCAGTTCGTCTGCCTCCTCTGTGCAGGGTGAGCACAGAACTGGGCCTCAGCACTGGGGCATAAGTAACCAGCTTCCAGCCCCTCCCAACCCTCGAGTGCAATGGACCCCTCTCCTCTATGGGAGAGTATCCGGGAAGTCACTGGCTCCAAAGCCTGGCCTGCCAACAAATGCTGTATGTACATAATCCAACTCCTCCTTTCGTGTTCCGGTAAAACCTCAGCCCACCTGGTCCCCACCTAGGAAGAGCCCAGTGTGACACCTGGAGCTGCTGCTGCCCCTTCCCCTCTACCGCTAGTCCCTCCAGGCCTCAGAAACTGGGCTGTGTGCTCAGGACCAGTTTACTAAGAGGTTTGGATGTCCTTGTATCTGATCCACTCACATTTAGAGGTACCCAAGGATCACCACCTGGCCCGCAGATCATCACCAAGACCTCTAGAGCTAAGGAAATCAGCTTCTGTGCAACCCTACCCTCCCACTCACCAAGGGATAAATAAACCCAGGCCCGTTGGCTATTCTCCAGTCAGGCCAAGAATGGGACTTACCCAGCGCCTCCTCTCTCTCTGTCAGCATCTTCAAGTACTCCTGGTGGCGCTGAAACCAAAAGGGAAAGGACACAGTGAGTGTCCTTCAGCCCCAACTCAAGCAGGGGCATTGCTCACCTCCAGGGTGAGTAAGTGAAAGACTAGGAGATTCCATCCTAAACCTTCCCCAGACCTGGGCCCACAGTGTCTCTACCTGTACAAACTGCTTCCCAGGTCTGCTCACACCTCCCCTCATCCCTGCAGGTGCCCCATTCAGGCCATCCGAGACTGCAAGTCCCCTGGGAGTCAGAGACTCTCCCACCCTTCCCCTCTGCACCTCTTCCCGGAGCTTCTTCTGCTCCTTCTTGAGCCTCTGCTTGATCTCCTCTATCGCTGCCTTCTTCCGCTCCACCTTCCGCTTGTGGAAGCCTGTCAGGTACTCCCTACAGGAGAGAGGCAAGGGAGACACAGGAAAAGAAAGGCTCGCTCCCAAAACAGCTGAATTGCATTCACTATGTGCCAGGCACCATTCCAAAATTTTACATTTTTGTTGTGTAATCCTCACAACCACCTGTGTAGTAGGTACCAAACCGCTTTACAGATGGGGTTACTGAGGCACAGAGAGGCTAGGTTATATTTTTATTTTTTTATCCTCACCCGAGGACATCTCCATTTTTTTGTTCAGATAGAGTGGGAGGGAAAGAGAGGAAGAGAGAGAGAAACATCGATGTGAAAGGTACACATCGAGTGGCTGCCACCCGCACGACCCAACCAGGGCTGGGAACAAACTGCAACTGAGGTACGTGCCCTCAGTGGAACCGAACCCAGGTCTCTCGGGACCACAGGCCGACGCTCTAACCGCTGAGCCAAACCGGCCAGGGCGAGGCTAGGTTATTTTGCCCAATGTCACAGAGTGTAAGGTTATAAAAAAGAAAGAGATGCTGCCTTTCTACCCAGTACCCTTCAGCGCTCTCAGCTTCAAGCAATAGGGCCAGGTGATGGGCACAGGTTGTGGACCGCTGAGTGTAGAACAGGTGGAGCCCCCTCTATACCGCCACATTCCATTCCCCAGTGAATTAAGCCACTTCCAGCAGGGCTTTCACGGCACCCTCACCAAGCCTTTACACTTTCTGCTGGGCCAATACTGCATTCCCCCGGGACACCTGCCCCGGGGACCCATTTGTGTAGGGCCTAGGGATGGATGCTCTTTCTATCTGATCTCTGCCCCTTCTCCGCTCCACCATTTCCATCTATTCCGGGCCCCAGCACCAGGCTTTTTGCTGACCCACTACCACATGCCAAGGTGGCACACACGCAGAAGGAAATGTCTGGTGAGTGAATAAACGGACTAAGCCACTCAGTTCATTCACTCATCATTTATCAACAATGACGGGCGGCTGGGCTGGGCAGGGAGGTCGAAGCCATGGCTCAGAGTCCAACACGCGTTCCCAGGCCGCGCAGGCAGGAGCTAGGAGAGCTGGGGCGCCCAGAGGAGCAAAAGGAGGGGGCGGGCCGTTCCATTCCACAGCCAGGGGCCGACGGCGGGCGCGTCCACTCCGCTGGAGCGCGGCCCAGAGGGGCCCGGACCACGCCAGGTGGGCGGGGCCGGAAGGGCCGTGTGCGTGAGCGTGCGCGGCCCGGAGCTGGCGTAAGCCTTGCCGGCAGCTCGAGGGGATGTGGTTCGGCTTTAGCACTCACCGCCGCTTCTCCTCGTCGAAACTGAGAACCAGCCGCGGCCGCCGGCTGTCGCCATCTCGCTTCTTCTTCTTCTTGTTGCGGCCCATAACTGTGAGGCCGGGCGGCGCGGCTCCCGCTCCCCTAATGCACTTCCGGGTGTAGCGTTCTCAGCCTTCCGGGCGCGCCTTGCAACGACGCTCCGCAGTTCCCCTCACCACGCCAGCTCTTTTAAAGGTACCGCCCTAGCCGGTCTCTCCACTCCTCCCTTGTGGGTGTAACAAACAGATCTCTGCCCACAATTCCCAGCCCCATTCCTTCTTCTAAACAAGCAACAGCGAGAGAACGAGTCCCCGAGGTCCCAGTATCTAGCTCGAGTACCTGGCACACAGTAGGCGTTCAATATGGAGTTATAGTGAAGGACCAAAGATTGCTGATCCTACTGTAGTTTCTGAAAGCAAACTACCTGGATTAGAATCCTGGTATCCCAATTACAGCTGTGGGGTGCTGGACCAGTGGCTTTTGCTGTGCCTGAATTACCCTGTTTGTAAAACGGGGATGATTATAGTGACTTTGTAGTGTTATTGTACGGCAGTGGCAGTGTTTTCCAAACGTCGGCTTGCACCAGAATGCCCTGGAGGGCTTGCTGAAACCCAGATTGCTTGGCCCCACTCCAGAGTTTCTGATTCAGCAGGTCTGGAGTGAGCCCCAGAATTTGCATTTCTAATACGTTCTCCGGTGATGCTGTTGTTGCTGGTCCACAGACCAAACTTGGAGAACATGATTGTGAGGAATAAATGTTATATACCATGTGTATAACATAATACACGCCACACATGTGTTTGCTACACCAGTTATGTTTGTTCTCTATGCCTCTGTTTCCTCAAGTATGGAGTGGGGGTGTCATAACTCATCCTCTACTGAAAATGAGGGCACAGATGTGAAGGCATTCAGTAAAACAACATCTGAAGGGGAATTTTAGTAACTGTGATTACATGCCTGAACCTCCTCGCAAACAATAATCTAAATGGAGCCACTTTAAAATGGAGCCAGAGCTGCCATCCCAGAGCAGCTGCCTTATGCCTCAAGTCTTGGGAATGTCAAAACAGGGCAAAATAACCTCTGGACAGGACCTCAGCATCCTTGTTAACCAAAGAACTGTTTACAAAGATAACAGGAAAGCAGTTATGACTAATGGAAGGATGACTACTGGGCTCAAAATGTCAAACATTGTTTAGAATGAACATCACTATGTTCTATTATCTGCACCAACAGAAATGCCTGCTTTCTATTGATCTAATTGTTCCCCTTCCTAGTCTCATAAGTACCTCTAGCCTTTGTCTCCTAATCAGAATAATATTTGGGCTTCTGTCTTAGTGATTCCTTATTGGTCTCAAATAAATGCTTGTTTGCCTCTCATTTTGAAAGGCCCTTTTTTTTTTTTTTTTAAATCCTCACCAGAGGATATTTTTTTCCATTTATCTTTAGATAGAGTGGAAGAGGGGAGAGGAGAGAGAAATAGCAATGGGAGAGAGACACATCAGTTGGTTGCCTCGCAACCGAGGTATGTGCCCTCGGCTACAATCGAACCGGGGACTCTTTGGTCTGCGGGTCAGTGCTCTAACCGGCCAGGGCTAGGCCCTTTTATTCTTGGGTTAGTACTCCATTCTCAACTCATCTGTGCTGGGTGGTCCTGCAGGGTCAATGAGCTGCAGGAGAAGCACAGGAAGCTGCAGGAGTTCAGGGTTGGCTCCTCCAGTGTGGGGCACTTCCCAGAGGAGGTGACCTCAGAACTGGCTGAGGGTGGGGTACCAGAGGCATAAAAGACTCTTCGGACCCAACCTTCTCCTTTGATAAGTGACTGAATCTCAGAGAGCTTGTCAGCACACACGAATTGAGTGCCTGTCGAGTGCCAGGCACACAGAAAAGAGAACGGAACTACAGTATTATCTCAGAGAGGGAGAGTGACTTGTTTGGGGTTACCCTGCTACTGTGGCAAAGCTGGGACTTGAACCTGGTTCACTGGTCTCATGGCCCAGCATCCTGGGCCACTGGCCAGAGGGATCACTCCCCCAGTATCTAGCATGGCCCCTTTGGAGGGCAAGATGCAGAGCCTGAGTTTTGGAAGGAGCCAGGCACACAGTAGGTGCATCTCTCTATGAATGCTGAGCCCATTCCACAAGGGTCCTCTGCCTGCGAGATTCCATGTTAGTGCTGAGAGGTCATTATCCTCAAACCCAGGGTACAGCATGGGGTTGCCTGAATGGTGGGGTTTCAGGGTGATGAACAAGTGACCCAACATCCCCTATTGGTCATGCCCTGATGTCCCTTTGACATCCTCCTTGCCCTGGCTGCAGTGATGCCCCCGAAGATGCCCAGTAAGCTGCCTTCTGCAGCTGGGCTGCCTCCATTGAGTCTCAGGCACTGGGTCTCAGAGCTACTGCCTGCTACTTCCCAGGCTCCACCCCCCACACCCAGACTGGCTGTAGATGGATAGTGATGGACTTGATAAATGATAAACTTTACTGGCTCCTTTCCTCTCCACAGTTAATTCATTCAGTCTCCCAATGCGCTGAAGAATGTTCTCAGGGCCTCTTGTGGATTACCTCAGTTAGTCCTCACAACCTCTCAGGAGGTTGATGGTGCTCTATTCTTATTATACAGATGAGGAAACGAAGACTCGGAGAGAAGTGGCTTGCCTGAAGACATCCAGTTAGTGAGGGGTGTACAGGGCCACTCCCCAACCGCTGCCCTGGTTGTAGATGTAGTGGTTTTGCCCTCTGGACCTTCCAGTCTGGTGCAGGGACAGACTGAGTAAGGAGATGGCCGCCTGTGCAGGACCTCGTGTGGGGAACTCTCTGCTGTTGGCCTTTGCAGCCCATCCAGCCTGAGCTGCTGGCCCACGTGGGGCTCAGAGAGGCGTCATCTGCCAAAGCCCCCAGCGCAGGGTGAAGCCCGCTGTCGCTGGCAGGTGCTTGAGCTCCAAACTCTTTCTAGGGAGTCAGTCCCCTTGCCCAGGAAAGAGACGAGGGACTGGCATCCCCACCCAGATTCCAAAGGCTTGAGAGCCATTTACTGCAGCTTATGGTCTAAAAATACCCAACTCCCTTTGGGGATTATTTTTGAAATTTTTATGTTTCTCGAGCACCTACCGTGTGCCAGGCACAGCAAGAGATGGCACATTCTCTTAGTAGAAGTGATGTTGAAGATGATGAGCAAAAGGAATTTTACTATTTATTTAGCTCTTTACACAGTTATCTTTTTAAAAAAAATATGTGTTTATTGATTTTTTAGAGAGAGAAGTAGAAACATCGATGTGAGAGAGAAACATCGATCAGCTGCCTCCTCCACACCCCCCACTGGGGATCAAGCCTGAAACCCGGGCATGTGCCCCAACCTGGAATCAAACTGGGACCGCTCAGTCCATGGAATGATACTCAATCCACTGAGCCACACTGGCCGGGCCACGATTATCTCTTTTGAGCCCCATTTTACTGAGGCTCAGAGAGGTGCAGTCACTTGCCGAAGGTCATACAGGCAAGAAGAGCAAGTGCTGAGGCTGGAGCTCAGGTGGTCTAAGAGTAGAGCTCTACTTAATTTCTCTGGACCCTGTTCCATAGGCTCTTGATACACAGCGAGTCTTAAAAGAGGTGAAGGAAACCAGCACTTACAGAGCCTTTGGTAAGTGCCACACACCATACATTCCTCTACATTTTATCAGCTAATCCTTGCAGCGACCCCACAGGGTAGATACTAGTATTAATGCAATTTGATAGATGAGGAAAATGAGGTTGAGAGAGGTTCAGTAACTGATCCGAGGGCAAGCAGTGATGGAGCTGGGGTTTGAACACAGGGCTGTCTGAATACGAGCCCAGTTTCCTTCCTCCATATGCAGTGATCTCTCTTCCTATCTTTCCCAGGGCTCTTCTCTGGCTCAGTGTAGTCCCAGTTCTGGTGTGTAGTGGCTGTTCAGCCAGTTTAGGGAGAATCAATGTGGGTGAACTCTGGGGACGAGAAAGGCAGTTGAGGGGACACTTCCTCCAGTTTCCAGCAGAGGGCGCCACTCCACAGCCAGACTTCCAAAACTGTTTCTGGGTGGCCACTTGAGTGACTCTGGAGAGCCTGGAGATTGGGTGTGGCTTATAGGGGCCCCATGTGCAGTTCAGTCTCCTTAGCTTTTATAGAAATGTGCTCCCTAGGAACCCGAGGTGGGAATAGTCCGCCCAAAGGGCCCAGGTGTGAATAATAACCCCCATTTTATTGATGAGGAAATGAAGGCTGGGGGCAGAAGAGACTACCCGGGGTCCCAGGGCTGCTGCTGGCTGTCCGGGAGTGAGATTTGCCAAGCCCCCATCCTCGGGCTCAGCTGGGTCTGGTACAGACCAGGGCGTCTCGTTGTCACTCAGAGGCTTGAGTGTAGCAGGGATAAGACACGCTACTGTTTCTTGTGTGCCATGCGCTAAACTTGGCCTCCTTCACACATTTCACTTACTCCTTACAAGACTGTGCTACTAGTCCCTCAGTCACGAGTAACTGAGACTCAGGTCAGTTAATGCACACAGGGCCACACAGCTGGTGGCCCTGCGCCACCATCTGAACCAGCTCTTGCTCCTGAAATGAATGAGAGGCCCCAGATACCATGGCTTGAATCACTGCCACGGTCCCCTGGTTTCACTAATTCAACATCTTTGTACTGGGACCCACTAGGTTGGGAGTTGTTTGTCACCAAGCCCCCTACTGTGTACTGAGCTCTCTTCTTGGCCCAGGGGACTCGGGAAGATGTCACTGGCACTTAGCAGATGTGCATCAAGGAAGTGAACAGAAGTGAAGGGGCAGAACCTGGGGGAGTTGGTGGAACCCCCCTCCTCTTATACACACACACACACACACACACACACACACACACAAATGAGGCTGATCCAGGGGGAACAGAGGCAGCTGCCTTTATTGGGGGCCATGGGTTGGCCGGCTTCACTCAAAGGCCATACACTTGATCTTGAAGTCACCTTCTGTTGACAGGTAGCTGATGGCCTCCAGGTTGAGGCGGTTGGGGAACTTGAATGTGTATCCATCTGGCAGCTTGATGGTCAGGTCTGCCTGGTCGAAGGAGATGCACACCTTGGGGGTGGAAAAGGGCAGTGAGCAGTGTCCCCCAAGGGGGAGCCTCAGCGCAGCCCCTCCCAGAGCCCTTTCCTCCTGTAGCCCCGAGAGCCCTACTACATGGGTGAGGCCACTGAGGTTGGGAGGGGGAATGACGCAGCAGGTGGGGGGGGGACAAGGTGGCCCCAGGTCTCTAGCCACTAAACCCAGCTCTGCCCCAGCTCACCTAGCACCCTGCCCCTGTCTGCAGCTCACCTCTGCGACACTTCCAGGCTGGAAAGGGAAGGCAGACTCCCGCTGCTCGGCCCCCCAGGCTCCGCCATCCTTGCTGTTACACACAATGGTGTTGATGTCTCCGTGCATGTCGAAGCGAGGGTTGAAGTGCAGGCCCACATTGTTGTCATCTTTGCCCAGGTTCAGAGCGAAGCTAGAGGGTAACAGGTGGGAGGGACTGAGGCCTCTGCAGCCAGCTGCAGCCCCTCAGACTAACCAGTCTACGGCATTCAATGTACCAGGAGTACATCTGGCTGGGGGAACTCATTGAGCCTGGAGGCAAGAATCCTGGTTCTAGCTCTTGGCCCTGCCTCTCTCTAGGTCTCAGTTTCCTCATCTGCACAATGGGGGCTGCACAGGAAGGATTTCTATGGGTCTTGGTGTGTTGACAGCCAAGAGTCTCGAAGACAGTAGTTTGTGTCCCAGCCCTTTGGTCAAGGTTGGAGACTCTCTCCAGATGATGACCTCTGGGAAGGCAAGTGTCCAGTCGGTCTTGTATATCTTTGTATCCTGGGTGCCCAGCATGATGCATGGCATGCAATAGATAACTGTGGGGCAAATGAACAGATCATAACACATTTGCTAAGTGGAGGTAAAGCAATCTTTGCTCCTGAGGCTTTGGTAAGAATGAAATGAATAGTGCATGGGCTCTTTGATGTCAGCGAATCATCTCACTTCGAGATCCAGCATCTCACATCCTCCACACAACCACCATCCCTGGTTTTGGTTTACTGATTAACAAACTGAGGTTCAATGCAGTTGGCTGACTAGTCCAAGGTCAGTCACATGGCTGCTGAGAACACAGACCAGCTGCTGAATGAGTGGAGGAAGGACTGAAGGAATGAAAGGTTGGACTAGCGAAGAACGCAGGAGAGACCTCAGAGGGATAGCGTTGGGCGTGACACCCCTCTCATTCCCTCTCCCCGCCCCAGCCCAGCCCGGCCCTTGCAGCCTCAGGTCCCGCCCAGAACCTCGAGATGGAGGCAAGCCGAGGTAGGCGATGGAGGATGGAGCCGCAGCTGGTTTAGTTTAAGAGACTCCAGCAGGGAGGGGAGGGGGCGACAATGGTGGAGGAAGTGACTCACCCAGAAAAACTCAGCTTCGGGCCTCCAGGGGGGGAGGGCGGAGTGGGGCCTAGCGGGCCACGCCCCTACCTGACCTCGGGCTGGACCCTCGGGGCTCCGGGCCACAGCCTCTGCCGCCCACCACCCCCACCTTCACCCCCTCACCTCTTGGCGTCGGGGGCCAACTCGCCCTGCACTCGGAGGCACTCCCCAGGTTTGAGATTCAGGTTGCTGGCGACCAGACCCTGCGCAGACCAGACCCCACCCAGGCAGGTTAGCGGATGCAGTGTCCTTGGGGGTGGGGGTGGGGTTCCTACGACTTGGGGAACCGGGGTGCAAGTTCTAGCCTTTCTTTCTCTGTGTAGTCCTGGACAAGTCCCTACTCCCAACAGGGTCAGTTTCCTATCTGTAACATGGCTGAGGTTCTAGAAGCCAGCATCTAGAGGTTTTTGCGGTTCAGCTTGGACATTCTGGATTCGGAGAGAGAATCAGACTCCTTGTGAGTGAGGGAGTCCGTGGCAAAGGAAGGTGAGTGGAAGGGTCTGCCCCTCTGCTGGAGAGAAGGGGCCTGGGGCTGGGACATCCCCCACTATCCCCTTCAAGAGCCCCTGCAGAGGGCGGCAGGGACTGGAGAGGAGACCCGCGGAGCAGAGCCAGGGCCCTACAGCAGGGACAGTGGCCTTGGCCCAGAGTTTGCAGCCTGGCTGGCTGGGGTTAACAAGATTGAGTGCACTACTTAACTGCCAGTGAGTGGTTCCGTCTGGCAGAAACATGAACCTTTTCCCTCAGGGCCTCAGGAAGATTCCTGCCTCCTTCTCTCCCCCAGCCCCCACCTGACCAGCCTGGACAGAGCCTCCTCCACCCACTAACTCGGGTAGGCCCTCTTCACGGGCAGCCTGCTTTTGCTCCTGGCAACTTTTCAGAGCTCTCTAGAGCAGAGGGTGACTGCTGGCCCCGGCCACTGGGAACAGCTGCGGCGGGGAGGGGACAGAAGTCTCTGGGGTGGAAGAGGGGGAAGGGACAGTAGACTAGGTATCATCAAAGTGCCCTCCCCCCTCAGCTGGACACACCCTTTCTACTCCTACTTCTCAGAGAGCTGCAGAATGTCAGACCCTGGAAGAATCCAGAAAGTTCTTAAGCCAGAGAAAGCGTGGGGGGACCATGCTGCCCACCCCCATCTTACAGTTTTGACCACTAAGACCCAGAAAAGAGAAGGTACTTGCTCATGGCCACACTGTCGGGACTAGAACCCTGATCCACATCTGCGCCCACTCTCCACAGCTGTCTGTGCCCACGCCATCCTGAGCCTTGGGGCGGGGTCCCCACACTCACACAAGCCATGACCGAGGGCAGGAGAACGGTCCTGAGGACTGCAGCACCAGCTGTCGAAGACTCCACCCGAGAGATGGGCCCTGGACTGCTCCAGCCCTTTTAACTGGACCAGACCTCGTTGAGCCCCGCCCCCTGGAAGCTCAGCCAATTGTAAGTCAGGACAGGGATAGGGGCCACTGGAGGTGGAGTCAATGGAATTTTGAAGCCGGTTCTGGAGCAGAGCTGACCAATCGGAGTGGTGACCCTCCTCCATTCCTTCTTAGCCCATCCCCCAGGGTCCAGGCTCCACCTCTTATTCTCCCTCATCCCTCCCCAACCCCCCAACAAAAAAAATTGTGCTGTGGCAGGGATTGGGGGAAGCCAATGGAAAATAGTTTGAGGATGAGCTAGGCCCAGGAGTTGGCGGGAAGGGGCCGAAGGCCAGCAGGCTGAGCTCATGGGGTACCCAGGGAAGACCACTGAGGGGGTGCAAGGTCCTTCAGGAAATCAGAGCTGGGGTTCCTGAGGCTGCACCCTGGCAGGGCCAGGGCGTGACCCCCTCTGTGAGCCTATGCAGAGGGCCCAGAACCCATCAACCACAAGGTCCTGGCCCCGCCCGGGCCTCCCCCGGAAGCAGGGATTGTGGCTGCTGCTGCACATGATTGTCACTAACGCTAAAGAAGGGCTGGGCCGGATGCCAAGGCTGAGGCTGTTGCAAGGGTTCAGGCCTTATCCCTCCCGAGGGGCCTGCTGGGAATCCTCCAAGAGCCCTGCTTGACAGCCTCTGGCCTGTCGGAGAGGGTCAGGCCTGGGAGTGGGCCCAGCTGAGCCAGACCATGAGGGGTTAGGGTACCTGCTCTCTGCACCCCATCCACTCTCCTCACATTTCTCCCTCTGAGGCCAGGCACAGCCTCATCTTTCTCCATAAGTTTAGCAGACATTTTACTGAACGCCTGTTGTGTGCCTGGCCCTGAGCTGGTCTGAGAGGATTCAATGATGGAACCCTCCCAGTCCCTGCTCTCAAGTAAACCACTGGTAGGGCGGAATCTGGCCATGAACCTAATGAAGGAATAGCATGATGTTGCCTCTCAGGGAAGTCGTGAGCAAGCCCCTTGGTGTGATGGAGACCGTCCAGAATGGGAAGGTGGGTCTGGCATTCCAGCCTGGCAGAGGCTCTGAAATGAGAAAGCACAGATTTGGGGATCAGGGAGCATCTGGGCATGGCTGGAATTTAGGGTATGTTGCAGAAATACAGAGCATGAGGCTGGGAGGCCAGCAGTACCGGGATCATGAAAGGCCTCACTGAGGGGCCTGGACACATTGTTTTATCTGAGGGTGCTGGGGAGCCACAGAATGTTACAGGGAAGGTGAGTATTGAGGTCAGATTTGGGCTTCAGGGAAGATCACTGTAGCAACAGAGTTGGGGGTGCTCACCTCACAATCAGGAACCAAGTGGAGAGGGGTGTGGGGAGCACTGGGCAAGGTGGGACGCTTACTAGGGAAGTTGTCAATGGGACTCTCATCTCCACATCACTGTCCTCTTCTGACACTGGCAGCACCGAAAAGGAAAGAGGATGTGGACCAGGGGTGACTCACTCCTGGAGGGCAGGTCAGCAGATCTGCCCTGCCCTCCACTACCTCCCCAGTCCAGCCTCCACTGTCCCGACCCACAGGCCACCTTCCCCCAGATGACTGAAGCCCACTCTGGCATGGGAGGATGGGGGAGCACATGGGATCACAAGGCAGGTACAGAGAGGAAGCTGGGCCACACCCACTGGGAGCCCCTTCCCCTCCTCCCAGACCAAGCCGGCTGTCTCAGAAATCAACCGCAGCAGCAGCACTTTTCCCTACAGGGCCCTCCCCAAACCTCAGCCTGGGGGGGCGGGCAGCTCCCTGCCTTTCCTCTGTGCTTCCCCTCCAAGGGCCACAGGCACCCTCTCTGCCTGATTCAGGGAGGAACGGGGCATTTCAGGAGTCCCAGGCCAAGGACAGAGGTGCTTCAGGTACAGTCCTTGCCCAACCGCTATCAGGTGGGTCTGGCCGACTGTTCCAGACCTGAGTTAGGCTCCAGGGCCCCGAGAGCTGCTCCTCCATTCTTCCCGCCACCTGGAGGATGGGACAGCACCAGGGAGTGCTTGTGGCCAGAGGAGGGGCTGCTTCACTCCTCTTCCGCATGCATCTGGCTGGCCACGGCTGGTAGAGAGATGGCGTGGCGCGGCAAAGAAGCCACGGAAAGGTTCCTTTGGGAGACTTGGGTGTTGGTCATAGCCCTGCCCAAAGCAGCCTGGTAAGTCCCTTCTCCCTGTTTGCCTCAGTCTCCCCATCTGTACACTGGGGAGATGAAACCCTGCTCTCCTGTAAAAGGTTAGCATAGAGTGGAGTTCTTGTCTAAATACATGATTTTTTTTTCATGGTCTCAGAAGGTCTTAGCTTCGTTTCCCAGGCTGTTTATCCTCTTGCGGTCAATACCTCTGGGAGGTCTCTTTACCCCTACCTCATCCCCATCAGGCTGCTCCCGCCTAGGCGGGGGCAGGGAGTCTCTCCAGATTCCAGTGTCTCCTGTAACAGGGACTGTGGTTTATCGAGGGGAGGAAAGGGACGAGGTGTATTGTGTGGTGGCGCCCACTTATCTGCCGGGCCCTGTGCCTGGTGCCTCGCTCTCCTACGTGATCTCATTTCATCTTCACCTACTTCTTGTCTGCCAGCTGGGCTCAGCTGCACAGGGAAGCGGCTCCGGGCCTTGAAATGAAGCTGATGTTAGGGTCAGGAGGAGAAAGGCAAGTCCCGGTTTGGGGGCTGCCTGGCTGGGACTATAGCCAAGTCGTTGGCTTCTCTGAGCCTGCTTCCAGGCCTGGAGAGTACAAACGTCACCGTCACCAGCTGGTTGGAGGGTTGCAGGAGTGATGTGTGAGGGACTCAACATTAGTTTTCTCTCCTGCAGCTCCCCAGGCCAAGGCCCCTCCTCTAGGGGCTCTCCCCTTACCACCCTGCAGTGGAGGCAGTGGGCTCTCCGGGGTTCCTCCCTCCCACAGGTCTATCCTACAGGCCGGGCCTTGGCCGCCGCATGAGAGATGAGCTCTGCTTGCTCAGACAGGGGAGCCGGAGCCGTGTGGCCTTCCCAGCCTGCCCTGCTCCGGTGAAGGCTGCAGGGCCCCCTGAAACACCATCCATACCCCCTGCCAACCTGGTTGGCCCAGGTGGGGAAGGTATAGTGATCAGATCCAGGAGTCCTAGAAGTCAGAGCAGAGAGGAACCTCAGATGTCATTTCCCTTATCTGATGATGTGGCAGCCACCCAGCAATGGTGGCCACTTGACCAAGGTCACACAGGAAGCTAGGGCTGGCCCTTTTACCGGCTGAGCTGAGGAATGAACACCGTGGGCCTGGCATACCTGAATCTCAAACGATGATCTCTTTTGGATCCTGCTGCATGAAGGGTAGAAAGGACTGGTGTGGGGGTGGGGAATACCTATACCACCCCCCACCCCCCACCCCACATACACTTTAAGCGCTTTTCCAACCGGTTTGTGCAGGAGCCTGCCCCCCACCCCCAACCTACCCTGCTCATCCATTCTCCCCTCCTTCCCCTTGCTTGCGCTGTCCCTCCCACCCCGCCTCCTCCCCAAGCACAGTCCAGGTCTGTCCCGCTCTGATCACAGGCCCAGACTTGGCTTTAGTGAACTGCCCCTCTTTTCATATGAGGTCTGGCTGGGGCCCAGGCCCTGTTATCCGATAGCCTTCCAGGGTCTTTTCGGTTTTTCATTTTGTCATAACTATAGACTCACAGGAAGCTAAGAGCGTTTTAAGAGCTTAGGAAATATTTGAGACCTGAAGAAAACAATGAAAACAAAAGTACTGGCGAATCCTAATACTGCAAAGCTGGAATGAATAAATATTTACTGTGCTCAAACTGAAAAGGTGATAGTTATAAAAGTTGTATTACACTGGAAAACGGTTTTGTAGGTTGCATTTTCTTCCTTCAAAAGTGGGCCCAAGTCTGCCTAGAGGTCCATCGCTCCCGAACTAGATCCCCATAGCCAAATAATGTCTAAAACAAAAGTATAAAAATACATAAAAAATATAGCAAGTCTGGCCAGCGTGGCTCAGTTGGTTGAGTGTCATCCCATGTACCAGGAGGTCGCAGGTTTGATTCCGGTCAGGACATATGCCTGGGGTATGGGCTCAGTATATATACACATACATGGGATGTGGGTGATTTTTAACATTTTCTATGATGTGCCTGGGGCCTGTGTATCAGGAGAATTTTTGGCTGCAAAACAGCGGTAATTACTTTTTATTTTATTTATTGATTTTAGAGAGAGAGAGAGAAACATTGATGAGAGAGAACATTGATTGGCCGCCTCCTGCATGTCCCCCACTACGGATTTGGCCCACAACCTGGGCATGTGCCCTGACTGGGAATCGAACCAGCAACCTCTTGGTGCATGGGTTGACGCTCAACCACTGAGCCACACCGGCCGGGCAGTGGTAATTACTTTTTATTTTATTTTAAAAAAATCCCCCCCCCTTTTATTTATTTTAGAGAGAGAGAAAGTAAGGGAGAGAGAGACCGAAACATCAATGAGAGAGAATATCTATTGGCCGCCTCTGCATGCCCCCTACTGGGGATCAGGCCCACAACCTGGTCATGTGCCCTGACTGGGAATCGAACTGGCAACCTTTTGGTGCATGGGTTGATGCTCAGCCACTGAGCCACATCGACCGGATGGTAATTACTCTTTAAAGTGAAGGGAAATGTTCACGTAACAAGAAGTCTGGAGCTGGGAGGTTTTCATGGCAAGTTCATTCAGGGGCTCAGTGAAATCACCCAAGATCTGGGTTCTTGTCTGATCGTGGATTATGGCTGTGTAGACAGTCCTTGCTCTTAGGAGAGACAAGCTAAAAGATTTGGGGTAAACTGTCTTAACATTTGCAATGTATTCTCAGTGAATCTGTTTAAAAGGTACATATAGCCCTGGACCAGTTTGGCTCAGCGGTTGGAGCGTCGGCCCGAGGACCAGAGAGTCCCGGTTCGGTTCCCGCTAAGGGCACGTACCTCGGTTGTAGTTTGTCCCCGGCTCTGGTTGGAGTCATGCGGGTGGCAACCAGTCGATGTGTCTCTCTCACATTGATGTTTCTCTCTCTCCCTTCCCCCTCTCTCCCTCCTGCTCTACTTGAAGATAAATGCAAAAAATGTCCTCGGGTGAGGATTGAAAAAAAAAAAAAAGGTACATATATATAAAGAACGATTAAGCAAATTGGGCAAATATCACCAACTGGGAATCTGGGTGAAGGGTATATGGATGTTCATTTGCTGCCTTCTTACATGTTTTCTATTGTTTTAAAATTTTTCCAGCCCTGACCCGTACTGCTCAGTTGGTTGGGCGTCATCCCTGTGCACTGGATGGTCGCTGGTTTGATTCCGGGTCAGGGCACATGCCCGGGTTGTGGGCTTCATCCCAGGGAGGGGGCATGCGGAAGGCAGCCGATCAATGTTTCGCTCTCACATTGATGTTTCTCTCTTCTCCCTTCCTCTCTCTCTGAAGATCAATTATAAAAAAGTTTTTGAAACTTTCCTAAAAGTTGGAGAGTGTGAGATAATAAATGTATATTTGATCTCTGACTCCAGTTAGTGACAGTTCCTAAATGAACCCTTATAATTTCCTAAGCAATAGAGATGCTGAAAGCATCTTGTGTTCTCATATCTGGTCTGTGACCCCGGTTCCTGCCACAGAACCCCTAAATCCCTTGGAATTTCCTGGGTGATAGGAATATCTTTTGTTCTAATGAGGTGGCTCTTGGGGGGCTCCTGGATGGTTTCAGGATGGGGCTGGTGACCAGAAAGACCAAGCCATAATTAGAAGCTTGGGACTTTTAGCCCCTCCCCCCAGCCCGCGAGAAGGGGAGCAGGGCTGGAGATTGACTTAACAATCATGACTACATGAGGAGGCCTCCATACACATTCCCAGAGCACAGGGTTCGCAGAGCTGCTCGGAGGGTGGCAGCTTTCGCATTTGGGATGCTCCCCAACCTTGCCCTGTGTATCTCTTCATCTAGCTGTTCATCTGTATCCTGCACCATACCCGTTATCACACAATAAACTGGCAAACAAGTGTTTCCCTGAGTTCTGTGAACCAGCACTGCAAACTATCCAACCTGAGAAGGGGGTTGTGGGAGCCTCCGATTTATAGCCAGCTGGTCAGAAGTACAGGTGACCACCTGGGACTTGACTGGCATCAGAAGTGGGGGAAGAGGCCTGTGGGACTAAGCCCCTACCCTGTGGGACTGCACTAACTGGGTAGGACTCCCTTGGCGTCCACAGAAAACAGGAGAGCTGCTTGGTGTAGAAAACCCACACATTCAGCGACAGAAGTGTTCTGTGGGCAGAGGAAAGAGTTTTCCCTTTTAGTTGGTGTCAGAGAAGTAGGATTTGCTAGAACGGCCCTGGCTTGTGGAAACATGTGGTTTGGGAAGGGAAAGGGAGAAAGGGTGGGCAGGAGGAACCTTTGATTCCTGAGCGCCATGTCATCAGTGACCCACCGCGTGGAGCAGGAGCTGTGCCCCACAGCGTGTGAGTCACCAGCGGGAACTGGGGATGGCTCTAGCTCTCAGAGAGCTGGCTTATTGGATGCATAAGGAAATGAAATAAAAGAAAAATATATAATCTCTTGGTTATGGTTACTGGTAACAGCTAATATGAAATCAAAAGAGAGTGGTGGGCCCTGGCTGGTTTGGCTCAGTTGTTGGAGAGTCAGCCCATGGACTGAAGGGTCTCAGGTGCGATTCCCAGTCAAGGCCATGTACCTGGGCTGCAGGTTCAATCCCCAGCCCCGATCCCCAGCCCCAGTTTGGGTTGTGCAGGAGGCAATCAATCAATGTGCCTTTCTCACATAGATGTTTCTCCCTCTCTCTCCCTTCTTCCCTTCCACTCTTAAAAAAAAAAAAAATCAATGGAAAAATATCCTCGGGTGAGTATTAACCGAGAGAGAGGTGGGTGGAACCCTGATGCTAGATAACCAAGTTTGGGCCACTAGCCTCAAAGCCACCCCCAAAGGGAAAAATTACTCAGGGACATCAGAAAGTACCTCTAAGGCCTCTGGTCACCAAGAAAGTAGTCAACATGGGGGGAAGAAAAACCAGGAAACTATTGAAACCAGGGGGTACAGCGTGAAGGGGTTGTTTCATTTGTGGACTGGTGTATCCGCTTCCTGAAATATGAACAACTGGGAACCCACGTGAAGGGTGCTCACTGTGCCATTCTTGCACTTTTTCTGTTGGTTTGGAACTTTTCTAAATTAAAAGTTGAGGGAGAAACAACCCCAGCAAGTTTTTTCCCATCTTTTTGCTCTGCAGAGTCACAAATCAGAATGTGTTGGGTTACACCTCATGATCACAGAATGGCTGCAACAGCTTCTATACTCAAAGCCAGAAGAGTAAGTTCCTACTCCATGTCCCTCTTTAAAGTGAGGCAAACATTCCTAGAATCTCCCCTCATGTCTTATTGGTCAGAAGTGCATCATACACACACACAAAGGACAAAACAAAAACAAACAAACAGTGTATCATAAGTCCATGGCTAAACCAATCACTGGCTAGGGAGAATCAAGTAACTATGATTGGCTTAGACTCAAGCTTTTTTTAAAAATCCTCACCTGAGGATATTTTCCCATTGATTTTCATCTATAGAGTGGGAGGGAGGGAGGTAGAGGGGGAGGGAGAAACACTGACGTGAGAGAGACATATGGATTTGTTGCCTCTCGCACGACCTGATCAGGGCCGGGGGGACCAAACTGCAACCAAGGTAGGTGCCCTTGACTGGAGTCGAACCCTCGACTCTGGTCCTGGGGCCAATGTTCTAATCACTGAGCCAGCCCGGCCAGGGCAAGCTTTAAACGACCAAGACTTACTACCCGAGACTGGGATGTCCACCCCGTCTGACTCACAGGCCACCACGTGCTCCCCTGAGGGAAATCAGGACTCTGTCAGCAAGGAAGGCAGGGACTGGCTGCTAGGTGGAGTGGGGCCAGGGAGGCAAGTACTGGCCTCCTTTGTGGGGCACATGATTCAGGCTGGCTGACAGCTGTGCTCCATCCTCTTGGGTACAGGTTCTGAGATGGGCACAGCACCCAAGCCAGGCTGATGAGCCTGCCCTGGGACGTGGGTCAGCTGAGAGGTACCCACGGTCCGGGACACCGCACCGTCGATGGGCAGACACCTGGACAGCTGTGTTGCCTCACCGGGCAGCCGTAAGCTCCCTCATGCCTTGGGCAGGGTCAGCTGAGTTTCTTGCATGGCCCGAAGCCTCCACAAGTGTGATTTGCTGACTTCATGATGCAGCCAGGCTCAGCCTAGTACTCTCTTATCAAGAATCACCCTGAAGAGAATTCAACTCTGAGGCCCACCGGCACTTCACGAATGACAAGCAGGCTGAGCAGAAAGGGGCCTGTGCAAGCTCAAGTGACCAGTAAGCTGGCGACAGCCAGGCCTGGAACAGTCATGGCATCTGCGGGCTGTCCGGGCTGCCCCGTGGCCAGCTCACAGCTGAGTGCCCTCTCTACAGGAGGCGCCCAGCCTGGAGGAGCTCAGGGCCAGCAGGGCAGTCAAGCAGCACCCCCAGTGTGAAGGATGCCCAAAGTGGGGGTGCTGCATCTCACCTGAGCTTCCAGAAGGTGGGGGACCTGCCCCCCCATCCCTACTGAGGGGGCTGCAGCCTCTCGGCGTCAGCCAACAAAGCCAAGTCCTGCCCCGGGTGATCCGCTCTCTGGATGTGCCCTAGTGAAGGTGAGGCTCGCTCTGTCTTTCCCCTGAATACCTCGCTCACACAGGGTGAGTGACACAAGCCTGCTGGGTTTCCTGAGGGACTGAAATATTGCTGCACACTCCGTGAGGGTGGCATGCTGAGTTAGGCACTAGGGCAGAGAATGCCCTGAACTGGGATGGAAGCTTCACGTGCGGGCAGTGGTCCCGGGCCAGTTCTGGGGAGTCGGGGCTCAGCCAGGGCTCTGTCCCCGCCCCGCCTCTGACAGACTGGAACCCACACAGGCACTCCCGCTCGCACTTTATTCAGTACGAGGACTGGTTACAAGGGGCGGAGGCGGTAGGGAAGGCCCAGCCCCCACCCACACCATCACTGGCACACAATAATAAATAAATAGCTGGGGCGGGCGTGGGGGAGAAGTGGCACAGCAAACACTGACGGCACGGGGAGGGGCACAAACGCCCCTGTTCGAGCTGTGGCCACCAACACTGGACCGGTACCACGATCAGGAGGGGGTGGGGCTCTCTGCTACAGAGGCCCCCAGAGCCACGGAGTGGCCCCTGGGCAGCAGTCTTGGTGGATGGGGTCTTTAGTACATGGACCTTACTTACTGACAAAAATCTGGACCCCTGGGTCATCCAGTCAGACCAGATTGTCAAGAGGCCACTATCTCTGACTTCTGTTCTATTCAGGAGCTAAAAGACCAATGGGTCATTATTACCTGTCCTGATTGGTCTATCCAGGATCTAGGACATGGAAGGGTCACTGTCACTTAGCCTTATGATTGGTCCAGGCAGGCTCCAGGATATCAAAGGGTTAGTTACTTGGGCTCCCGACTGGTCCACTTGGGACCCAACATCAATGAATCACTATCACTTCACCTTCTGATTGGTCCACTCAGGGCTCAGAACAATATGGTTTGTGGTAACCTAGACCTCTGATTGGTCAACAGGAACCCAAGGCCAGGACCTGGGGAGCAGGTAGACCTCTAGAGGCCCCAGGGAGGAGTGACGGAATTAAGTGTTCAGGGTTGGGGTAAATCTCTAGTGGGCATCAGGGCCCAGATTTCAACGAGGGGAGGTCACAAGGCAGGAAATAAGGCCACCTTGGCTGGGTCACGCCAGGGCAAACCAGTGGGGCAAGGGGGGCAGCAAAGAGTGCTCAGCCACCCCTGGGAGGGGGTCCAAGGGCCCTAACACCTTCCCTGGGCCCCAGACCCATCAGGGTGTAGAAACTGGGGCGGAAGAGCCAGTGGCACTTAATGCAGCTCCCGGCCCATCACTCCATGGAGGGGATCAGGGTGGGGGAGGGGTGTGGCTGCGGTTGCAGGCCAGGTGGGCTCATTCCTCCAGCCCTTCCATGAAGTCTGCGACGCTCTCCACGTAGTAATGGGGCACCAGGTCATGCTGGCTGGCCGCCAGGTAGGCCTGGGCCTCCTCCAGGCGAGAGACGCCTGTGAGCGTGAGCACGGTGGTCATGCCGCAGCGGTGGCCGAAGAGGATGTCGGTCTCCAGGCGGTCGCCCACCATGAGCATGCGGGCAGGGTCCACGTTGAAGTGCTCTGTGATGCACTCGAACATGTAAGGGCTGGGTTTGCCCACCACCAGGGCCTGGCGTCCCGAGGCTGTCTCCACGGCAGCGGCCAGGCTCCCAGTGCCTGCAGGGAGATGGAGACTGGTCAGTGCGGCCAGGCAGCAGGGGAGGAAGAGAATCCAGGCCCTGAAACTGGAATCCTCGGGGAGGCAGCCTGGCATGGGGATAGAATTAGGCACTGCAGCCCTGGCCAGGTAGCTCAGTTGGTTAGAGCATTGTTCCGGTACGCCAAGGTTTGGGGTTGGGTCCTTGGTCAGGGCACATACAAGAATCAACCAATGAATGCATCAATAGGTGCAATACAAAATCGATGTTGCTCTCTCCCCCTCTCTCTAAAATCAATTTAAAAAAATTAGGCACTGGAGTCAAAAGGCCTGCTTCCAAATCTTACTGCCACGGCGGAGTCCAGACTGCAACTGGATGCCCGCATTCAGGCTCCATCTCCACTCTCTCAGGCAGACTGTTTAATCTCTCTGTGCCTCAGTTTCCCCATCCCAATACAGCACTTATCTCATGAGGATACTGTCCGGATTGAATGAGCCACCGCATGTAACTGGCCCTGGCTCAGTCAGTCCTGTCTGAGGTTCACTTTTACCCTGGTAGCCGTGTGCCTTCGTGCAAGCCACTCCACCTCTGTGTTTCCTTGGAGTTGCTGGAAAAGGAAGATCCAGCCTGGCTGGTGTGGCTCAGTGGCTGAGCATCAACCCACGCACCAAGAGGTCACTGGTTCAATTCCTGGTCAGGGCACATGCCCAGGTTGTGGGCCCAATCCCCAGTGGGGCACATGCAGGAGGCGGCCAATCTATGTTCTCTCTCATTGATGTTTCTATCCCTCCCTCCCTCTCCCTTCCCCTCTCTCTGAAAAATCAATAAACATACAAATAAAAAAAAAGGAAGATCCAAGTAATGTCTACTTCCAAAGAGGCGCTGTAGGCATCACAGGGCAAGTGCTTTGGAAATGGAAAAGCACTTCCCAAACAGCAGTTGTGGTTAGGGATACAAGAATGTGCGCTCCTGGCATCGGAAACTGGCACAGCCCTTCTGGAACTCAGCAGGGCACAGAAACGTTCGCACCTCTGACCCAGTCAGCCTCCGCCGGCACAGTGGTCACAAGAAGAGGATTCAGACTGGAGACAAAAAGCTACATGCTTGAAGATGTCTGTGGCCACAGTAACTATAATTCCCAAAATTGTGGACCACGCCCAAGTATTTTACAATGGCAGGACTGTCTAGAAAAGGACAGTCCTGACTCCTGGCCATCGGCCCCACACAATGAGTCCACTGTGCCCATCCCACAGGCACATCTTTGTGCAGAATGTTCTGCCTTCACACTAATATCCCTGAACAAATGATGATGATGATGATGATAATCACAATTTACTAAGCACATTTTCTTTATTTACTTACATGCTTTTATTGATTTTTGTTTTTAGAGAGAGGAAGGGAGAGAGATAGAAACAGGGATGTAAGAGAGAAATATGTGTCGGCTGCCTCCTGCACGCCCCCTACTGGGGATCAAGCCCACAACCTGGGCATGTGCCCTGACCAGGAATTGAACCAGGACCTCTCAGTCCATGCTCAATCTACTGAGCCATACCGACCAGGCACTAAGCACATTTTAAAATGCCAGGGGCTGTGCTGGGTGCTCACAGAAGCCCATTTTATAGATGAGAAAGCTGACGCTCAGTGATGTTAAGTAACTTGTTCAGGGTTGCACAGCTTAAAAAGTGGCAGATAGCCCTAGTCAGTTTGGCTCAGGGGTTAGAGTGTCGGCCCGCAGACTCAAGGGTCGCAGGTTCAATTCCCAGGTCAAGGGCATATACCTGGGTTGCAGGTTCAATCCCAAGCCCTGGTCAGAGTTGCCTGGAAGGCAACCAATCAATGTGTTTCTCTCAAATCAATGTCTCTGTATCTCTCTCTCTCTGGGGAAAAAGAAGTGGCAGCCCTGGTTGGTTTGTCTAACTGGTTAGAGCATTGGCCTGCGAACCAGAGTCACGGGTTCGATTCCGGTCAAGGGCACATACCTCAGTTGTGGTTTGTCCTCGGCCCTGGTCAGGGTCGTGCAGGAGGCAACCACTCGATGTGTCTCTCTCACGTCAATGTTTCTCTCTCTCTCTCCTTCTCTCTTCCTCCCTCTCTATCTGAAGATAAATAGAAAAATGTCCTTGTGTGAGGATTAAAAAAAAAGGCAGATAAATTCAGGTGGATATAACCCACTCATATGCTAGTCAAGCTTCTTCTCATTTGGGAGTGCTGAGCATTTAATTTTCAGGAATACTGTGAGCTGCTGGTGGCTAAACAAAGCTGCTGTTTCAAGTCCACTTATATAAACTTACAATCAAATGAATTATGTTTGAAACAAAGGTAATAAATTCTCAAAACTCCTCACTTCCTAATGATTTTACTATTATCCTTACTCTTATGATGACGTATATCTGTACCAATGGAAATACTATATATCTGTTCATACATCTTCCCAATTCCGTGTTCAGTGACTTCACGTTGGTAGCATGAAAATCCACCATGGTGGGAATATTTGCACAATGGACAGTGGCAAATGCTATAAATCAGGGCTCCCCAAGTTACTACACATTTATCAATAGTACACCACTGGTCTGACCCCAAGAGCTCCGGCCTCCTATCTCCCTTCTCACAGTGTAGTTCAGCCAAAGCTCAGAAGGGTCAAGTGGCCCTAGACAAGGAGGAAGAACGTCCCCTGTGTCACAGGACTCGGGTAGAGCTGGCCCAGAGCATCACCACTGGGAGGTGCTCCCTGACATCTGACTTAGAACTCGCCCACTTGTTTTCATAAGAAGTGGGTAGGGGAAGAAAGGCCATTTGCCTCTTTGGTGACAGATTCTTTCTAGGATGGGAAGCGCTCAGCTGAGTTACCCCAGAGTGTTTCTCTCGGCTCAAGAAAGTTCTCAGCTGTCAGCTTCTTCCTTTCCCACCAAGAAAGAGCTGATCACCCTTGGCCCCCGTGTCCATTTCTTCCACTTACCTAATAATTACTGAGGCCCAACTACACACCAGGCACTGTGCTAGGCACCAGGACAGAGCAGGGAACACAGCAAAACCCTACCCTGGAGGAGTGAGCTTCCTAGTTGGGGTGTCTATGAACTTAATTCTGTCCTCAGACCACCCCCATCCCCTTCTCTCAACATCCTATAATCCAAGACTGTCACATGTTTCGGTGGTGACGTAGTGCTAAAACAGCAGGCATTTCTACTTGCCAGCTCAAGTGGCTGGCATATGGTTACAAGGTAAACACGCAATTTAGGAGACCTGCAGGGGAAGGGGGAACTGAGGTGAAAGATCAGCATTATTTCAGATTTTATGCATAACGGAGTCCTTTACTAATATTTATTTACCACTGTCTCAAAGCTGCATCAGTCAGTGTACAAACATGACATCAGCGCTGTCTTTCTGTATTTGTTAAACCTCTGCCTCCCCCTCTAGGCTGTGGGAATGACCAGCAGGGCATAGCCAAGTGGGTGCTGAGATGGAAGGGGCAGGGCGTGGGCAGGGCCTGGTCTCTCCCCAGCTCTTCCATACCACCCTTCCCGAGTCCTGGGGGCCTCTTAACCCAGCCATTACCTCTTAACCCAGCCATTACCTGAGCTTTGAGGCCTCCAGGGAGAAACACACTTTTCATAGCATGGCCTAGTACAGGCAGGAGCTGTTGAATTGGTGGTGGGGGTGAGGGCTCAGCTTGGGTTTATGGGAAAACTAAGGCTGAAGTGGCCATGCAGCAAGTAGGTATGCAACAGTAGGACAGGTCAAGAACTACAGAGTGTCAGCCTGGAACTGGTTCAGCCATGGCCCAAGTCCTATTCCATGTTTTTTCCCCTAGCGCCCAGTTCTGTAAGATGTCTCCTCTAGGAAGCCTTCCCAGATCCCCTAAGCTCTAGGCCCTCCGTGCTACCCCATCATAATACTGTGTCTCATCAATGAATGCCACGCTGCCCTGCCAGGATTTGGTATCAATGACTGTCTGGGTCAGTCACCAGCAAGGAGGGAGTGACAGGAGAGCTGTCCCTGCCCTCAGCCTACTGACTGGTGTCCTGACTTGTCCACATACTCATGACTGTCAGTTAGCCTCTGCTACCATCTGCTCTTATCTAACTCAAACCTGCAAGATGTAGGAACCTCCACCTGCTGCTGCCTCCTCTGTAGGTCTGAATACCCAGAAGACAGCAGTGGAGAATGCCTTGGATGGAGGGGGTGGGGGTTGGGTAGCCAGAAAATCCAATTCCGGTTCCTGAAGGCTTGAGCAGTTCACTCCCCCTCTCAGCATCATACCAAGGTGCTGTAACTGGACAGGGCTCTGGATACAACTTACATCATCTGAGCACCTATGCGCACAGATCATTCTTCACTCTGATGAAACTGGTATGGTCAGCATCCCATTAACAGCCAGGATAGAGATGCTCTGAGGTTATGTAACATAACAAGATTACAGAGTCCTGGAGCTAAACTGGACTCAGGGCAAACTCCAACCACTCCTGTGCTCCTGCGCACCTGCCTAGAACCTGCCGCTGGACATGGCGTGCCAACTCTCCAACAGGGAGACGATCTTTCTAGGTTTTGTCCTCAAATCTCTGACCTCACTCTAATAGCGGGTGAGACAAAATGACAAGACTCCTTGAGGCTAGTTCAGGAAGGTTAGGGCTGGGAGTCAGGGTACCTGGACTCCAACTGCAATCCCAAGAGCCACGGTGGGCCTCAGTTTCCTCATCTGTCAAACAGGAACACCACTGTTGCTCCTCACAGTCTGGCAGCTGCAACAATTACCAGACCTTGACATGACAGCAACTTTGGGCTCTTTCCGGGTGGCAACCGCGCTAGCAACCCTCTTGTTCCCTATCTGTCACCTGGAGATGTTCCTTCCCCGACCATCACCCTCCAGGCATAGAAGCAAAAGCCCAGGTCGCCCACGCCACCCTCGCGCTCACCAGGGGTCCGGCTGCCGTCACTGAGCGGGTGCCACGGGTCTCGGTCGGTGGCCACCAGCAGGCAGTCGGGGTCACGCAGGTGCGCGCACGCCTCGCTCAGCTTGGCGAAGGAAAAGTGTTCGTCGTAGCCCACGAGCACGGCACGTACACGCGGGGCCGCGCCCGGGTCCTCGCCGGGGTCCCCGGCTAAGCGTAGCCCCGCGGCGCGCAGCTCGGCGCGCAGCCCCTCGCCACCCAGCACGAACACGGCACCCGGTGCGTCCGGCGGCCTGGGTAGGCGCTGGCGCAGCAAGCGCGCGGCGCACAGCGCGGAGCTGAAGAGCTGCTCGGTGTGCAGACCCCCAAAGCCGAGGCGCGCGAAGCGGAGGGCCAGCTCCGGCCGCGCGCGCCGGCTGTTGTTGCTCACGAACAACGCCTTCTTGCCGGCCTGCGCCAGCCGCTCCACCAGCTCCGGGGCGCCCGGCACGACGCGCTCGCCGTTCCAAAGCACCCCGTCGCAGTCGAACAGAACCCCCTGGGCCCGGCCCAGCACGTCGCGCAGGGCCGCGCCGCACAGCCGCTCGCAGCGCGCCATGCAGCCAGCTGGCTACCCGCACACCAGCGCCGTGCCGCGCTCTCTCCGCGCGCACGGTGCGCTCTCCCGCATCCCGCTGGTCCCGGGTACCTGCCAATCGGCGCGCCGGAAATGCCAGGGGGCGGGGTTACGGCCTGGCCCACGGCCAATGGGCATGAAAATCTCTGAAAGGAGCAAAGCCGCGAGCAAATGGAGCTTGGAGAAAAGGGCGGAATCGCGAGCGGCCTCAAGAGGACAGGACCAATGAAGACCTTGGTTGGCCCTTCGCCCCGCCTCCCGGATCTGCTGGGCCAGTCGCTGCTGAGTTTTAATGCCGATTAGCCTCTTACATGTTAGACTGACGTTCTTCTTGGCCAATAACGAGTTAGAAGTAGAAAATGTGGCGCGAATAGCTGCCTGCGCTCCTTAGCTAATCAGAAGCTTAGGAGAGGAGGTTGCTAAGAGGAAAGATGTCTTTGGGTCAAATATCCTTGCCCTCTGAACTGTGGACACTCTAGGTCTGAGATAAGTCCTGAGAAGTGGATGGGTATGATGGGGAGAAAGGCGCATGGTGTCTTCTCGAGTGTAGGGGCCCTTGGCCTACACGAGTGTTTCTCTAGGCTGGCTGTACTGTGGAGTCCCCTGGAGCACTTGTTATTTTTAGATATAATTTACATACAGTATGATGTGTAGATCTTTTTTTTTTTTTTTAATCCTCATCCGAGGACACTTTTGCATTTATTTTCAGATAGAGCAGGGAGGGGGGGAGGAAAAGAGAGAGAGAAACATCGACATACACACATCCACGGGTTGCCACTCACATGACCCCAAAAGGGGCTGGGGACCAACTGCAACTGAGGTACACACCCCTAGCAGGAATCGAACCCAGGTCTCTCTGGACTGCAGGCCAAAGCTCTAACCGCTGAGCCAAACCAGCCCCAAGCTGGTGCTTAGATCTTTATGGGAGTATCTTATTTAATCACCAGAACAACACTTCTGCGGTTGAAGTTGTTACCTGGTTTCCTAGGCGAAGAAACCAGAACACTGAGAAATTAAGTAGATCACCCAGGATGTGAGGGACAGACCCAGGCTCTGGAATCGGTCAAACCTGGGTCCTAATCCCAGGTCCATGCCTCACTCACCACGTGACCTTGGCAGGTCATGTTCTCAGCCTGTCTCCTCACCTGGAAGCGGTCACGGGATTTACTTTCCAGGGAGAGGATTACATGGAAATCATGCACAGAAAAGCAACGTGTAGCATAGACAAAGTGCTTAAAAACTTCGGCTGTTATCATTTCAGACAGGAAGAAGGAAAGGAGGCAAACGACAGGTAATTTCCCCCTTTATCACAGTGGCTACTTTATTTTGAGTACAGAAAATAAAGCTATCTTTTGGACAGCTGCTCCAGTTTTGTCCAAAATAATTTATTTACCTGCCTTACAAAAAAATATGTTGGCAAGAGAAAAATAAGTCCTATAGGAGCAGGCAAGCTCTCCTTCCTTCTGGTGGCTCCCCTGGGACCTTGCCAGGGAGTGGGGAGTCAGCTGAGCCCCCCCAAGCCCAGGGTGGATCCAGGAGGAAAAGGACTGGAAGTCGAGGACTGTTCTGAGTCCTCCTTGCCGTGGGGGCCGACCCAGCGGGCACCGAGGCACTTGTAGGCAAAGGCTGTAGGCCCCCATCCCTTGGGAGGGGTGAGGGCTGTGTTTTAGGGGGACAAGGTGGGAGGGAGGGGACACCGATGGCTGTTGGGTAGGAGCCACCAGTTCAGTCGGTCTCTGAGGCAAGGCTCCTGGGCCGAGGCTGAGGGGGCATAGCTGCAGGAGTGGGGGTGCTGCGTACAGCCTCAGAGGCCCCCCCATCCTCTGTGGCTACCCCCAGGTCCACCTGCGCAGGCATGCTCAGAGAGACTGGGCTGGGGGAGGCTGGACCTGGGGAGGTCTGGCTGGGGGAGGCTGGTGAACGCCGGCTCTGGCGCCGAGCAGGCTGGGGGGGAATGGGGGGCAAAGGGGGTGGCACTGTGGGGGCCCGGAGGGTGTTGCCAACTAGACGTCGAGGCAGAGCCCGGGGGGTCACAGGACTGCCAGAGCCAGGGGGCAGGGAGGGGGCTGGAGGGGAGGAGCGGGTGCCGGAGACCTGGGGGGGTAGCATGGTGGGCCGGGCTGGTGCTTGGCGTTTGGCTGTAGAGGAAGGAAAGGGGCAGTAAGGTGTCCATATTGCCTGTGGCAAACCTACCAAGCTCAAGTCCACCTCAGGACCTTTGCACCTGCTGTTCCTTTGCAGGAACACTGCTTCCATGGCTGGCCCCTCATCACTGAAGCCTCTCTTAGTGTCTCTTCTCCCCCTCAGCTGGAGTACTCCCCCACCCTGTCACGTTTTCCAGGACTTTATGCCAAATAAAGAAATGCTGCCTGTCCCCCTGGCATTGGGTCTTGCTCACTTCCTCTCAGAAGCCCACCAGAACTACCCCACCCCAGCGCCCAGATCCCACTGCACACTTCTGATGTCCAGAGGCAGCTGAAGGGCTGGGTGGGGCCAGGAGGTCTGAACTCTGGTCCTAGCTCTGTCTCCGCCCACTGGGTCATTTGCAAAAATCACTTGCCCCTGGGGCTGCAGTTTCCTCATCAGGAAGATGGGATGATCGCCTCAGCCTCCTAGGGCTGATGTGAGGACTATCAGGTGATGGCTGTGACAGTCCTTTAACTTGTGCTTAAAGGAGCAAATGCCTCACTTGACCTAGCCAGAAAAGGTGGCCAGACGCCTGCCTCTTGCAGGAAGACTCCTGTGCCAGCCGCCAGCTCCTGCTGGTCTGGCTCTATGCTGTACACCCAGGTGGAAAGCGCTAGAGCCTCTGGAGCTGGGTGGGGCCTCCCAAGGGTCCTAGTCATCTGGGCAGACTCTGCACCTGAACCCTAGGTCTTCTCACAAGCCTGGCTTTCAGCCAACTCAACAAGTGCATGTAGCAAAGGGTTCGGAGGGCCCAGGTCTCCTCCTGCCACCAGCACCACCACCTCCCTATCTCCCTCACTGCTCTAGAGACTCGGTCCTCCCTCTCCGCTTTTTGAGGACCCCACTGCCCCCCATGCTCACGATGGCCGAGATTTATCAAGCATTTACTGCATAAGCCAAGCAGCAGCATTTAATTCTCCAAACAGTCCTACAAGGTAGGTGCAGTTATATTCCACAGGGGAGGAAGCTGAGGCGCAGAGAGGCAAAGTCACCTACGCAGGTCACAGAGCTGGACTCTGGACCCAGAGTTTTAGGCAACAGAGTTGGCTCCTAGTCACCTGGACTCCTAGCTTCCCCTGGCTGCCTGAACACATGGGGTGGTCTGAACTGCCAACCCTGCCCACCCTCTGTCCCCCTTCTCCTCCCATGGCCAACTTACTTCTCCGAGCCATGTCCTCCGCTGGGGCAGCTGCCTCTGGGGGGCTCCTGCTGACTTTGGGGGAGGCCGGTCTGGGGGGCGCCTCGGACTCTGACCTGTGAGGGAAGAAGAGGGTCAGGTTCAAGGCTGGCCATCTCTCAGACATCTGGAATTTTGGGGAGACTCCCAGCCAACAGGTTGAGTTGGGGTCTTCCACTTTGTGGGCTCTGTCTCCAGGTTGCCTCTGCCCCCAAAACACTTCTGGCATTGGTCAGGATTTAGATCCAGAGTCCCTGCTGCTGAGTGACTGCGACAATGTCTGTGGTCCCCTAAGGGGCCAGGATTGAAGATAGGAAGCAGGGTCTCCCTTCTGCCTCAGATCTCAGCCTCCTTGTGATCTTTTTTTTTTTTTTAAATATTTTTTTCTTTATTGATTTTAGTGAGAGAGGAAAGGAGAGAGAGAGACAGAGAGCGAGATAGAAACATTGATGAGAGAGAACATCGACTGACCGCCTCTTGCATGTCCCCCACTGGGGATCGGGCCCACAACTTGGGCATGTGCCCTGACTGGGAATAGAACCAGCGACCTCCCGGTACATGGGTCGACGCTCAACCAGTGAGCCACACCGGCTGGACCTCTTTGTGATCTTTTTTTTTTTTTTTATCCTCACCCGAGGACATTTTTCCATTTTTTGTTCAGATAGAGCGGGAAAGAGAGAAAGAGAGAGAGAAACATCGATGTGAAAGGGACACATCGAGTGGCTGCCTCCCACAGGGCCAATCAGGGCCGGGGACAAACTGCAACCGAGGTACGTGCCCTTAGCGGAAATTGAACCCGGGTCTCTCTGGACCACGGGCCGACGCTCTAACCGCTGAGCCAAACTGGCCAGGGCTCTCTTTGTGATCTTTATGAGATGCTCCGGCCACTAGAAGCCAGAGAGTGGCCAAGAAGCAGAGGGGAAGGCCTCCTGGCTTCCCTCAGGTCTCTGCTCAGCTGGCTTCTCCTCAAGAGGCCGTTCCTGACCCCAGGGCTAAAGCAGTTCCCCCTCGGCCCCACCTTGCTCCGTTTTCCTCTGCAGCACGCACCCTGCCTGACGCCACATTGACCTTTTCAGGTGTACTTGCTGATTCTCTCTCCACCCCCAGAACACAAACACAAGGGCAGCATTTGTCTGTCTTGCTCATCTGCGGAAGTTCATGGTTTGGGCCCCAGCATCTGACAGTCGAGCACCTGCTGGGTCTGGGCAACATGGTCCATGAACCTTTCCAAACTTCAGGGGGTCAAAGAGAAGACTGGAAGGTGCTTACAAATCCCAAAATGACCAGCTCTCTAGTCGCTACATCCTCAGCGCCTGAAACAGTGCCTGGCACATAGCGGTGCTCAGTAAGTAGCCATACAATGAACGAGGAAACTGGTCAGAGAGGACTGTTACCTCGGAGCCTCCGCCCCACCCACTCCAAACTGGGAAACCTGGTATTTGGGATGCAGACACAATAATTACATTTCCTAAAATGTCCTTGGGAGCCCTGAGAGAGGGTGCCTCAGGCTGGGCATCTTGGGGTCAGGTCAGGTCATTCATGTCTGTGAGTCCTTACCTTTCCTTGGTGGCCACTGAGGCTGGGGTAGGGGCCGAGGCCGGGACAGAGGTGGGGGCTGGGGCCGGGGCCGGGGCCGCGGCCGCGGCTAGGGGGGCCACGGCAGTGGTTGGAAGCTCCTCAGAGGCCGGCCTGTCGCTGACCTTGTCCTGGGGGGTGGGGACTGAGAACAGGCCTGACACGCTGAAGTTGATGTCTGCAGACAGAAAGGAGCAGGCCTTAGCTTTCCGTCTCCACCAGGCTCCCCTGCTCCCCCAGTGCCAGGACCCCTCCCCACTTCTCTGACATTGTCTGGACCACAGTTGGCCATCCCACTCCCACAGGAGCCTCACGACAATCCCACAAAGCAGGCAGGATCGTCCCCGTTTTACAGAGACACAGGCTCACAGTGCAGAAGCAATCTCCCCTAGGCCTCGTGGGGAGCGCATGGGGCTGCCAGGGACTGGCGCGGATCTGGAGGGCACTGAGTTGGGCACAGAGGGCACGAAGGGCATGTCACACAGGCAGGAGCTTCACCTCCAGGGAAGAGGGTGTCTGCATTCTGTATCAGAGCCTCCACCACGCCCACCACCTGGATGGACGACACTGAGGCTGCATCCAGCTGGGCCTGGTCCCTGGGATGAAGGGAGTGAAACGAGTCACCGCTTAGCAAAGTCCTGCGGTCCCAACTCTGCCTGGCCTTATGCTGGCCCTGGGAACACACGCAGCCAACCATCACATCCAGTCCCTGTGCTCAGAAGCTCACAGCCACCACGAACGGCAAACACGTGGCTCACACACTCCACTGGTCCCTCCCTGACCCACGACAGGCGTCACCCGTCGGTCACAGCAGCCTCCTCAGTTCTTGGGTCGAGGCAGCCTCTACCAAGTCACTGCATTCAGCAAACGAGTGGCGTCGTTGCGCCTTCCACGCAAGGGAATGACGAGCCCTCGCATCCGACAGCACTTTACATACATGAAGCATCCCCCATTCATTGTCTCAGGTAAGCCCCAAGGCAAACGCCCTCAGACTGTATAATTTCTAATTTACAGATGAGGAAGTGGAGGTTGAGAGAGTGTCTCCCTAAGGCCTGTCTCTGGAAGGGTGGGCCAGAGGAGGGGCTGGAACCAGATCTCGAGCTCCCCGCCTTCCAAGCACCCCATTGCCGCCACTACCCAGAATGCTATCTCCAAAGCCCCGTGGGCCCGTGATCCCTCTGGGCTGCCCCTCATGGTGGCCTTGAGAATGGGAGCCGCTCGACCCATTCCCAGGATGAGGAAACCAAGGCCCAGGAAAAGGCCAACAGCAGATGGTTGGGGTGGGGACTACCACCTTCCCCTCCCATGGAGCCTCACCCTTCTTTCTCAGGGGGCCACAGCAGGTTGGGCCCCAGGACGATGGCGATGTTGCTGGGTGTCATCTTGTTCACCTCCTGCTCTTCAGCCAGACGTGCCAGGAACTTCATCAGGTACCTGGGGAGGCAAGGGGTGAGCTTGGGTTAGGGACAGGACATCAGCCTCAAACACCCATCGGTAACCCCGAGACCCTGGGATTTCTCTTTTTTAATCCTCACCAGAGGACATTTTTCCCCATCATCTTTAGATAGAGTGGAGGGAGGGAGAGAAGGAGGGTAAAAGAGAGAAAGAAACGTCTACATGAGAGAGACACATCAACTGGTTGCCTCCCGCACAACCCCGGCCAGGGCCAGACCGCAACCAAGGTACGTGCCCTTGGCCAGACTCGAACCTATGACTCTTTGGTCCACAGGCTGACACTCTAACCACTGAGCAAAACCGGCTACGGTGACCCTGGGGTTTCTAAAGCGTGGCCAAGAGTGCACACAGGCTGGTTAAAAAATTTTTTTAAATATGTTTTTATTGATTTTTTAGAGAGAGGAAGGGAGAGATAGAAACATTGATGTGAGAGAGAAGCTGCCTCCTGCACGCCTCCCACTGAGGATGGAGCCCACAACCCAGGCATGTGCCCTGACCGGGAATTGAACTGGGACCTCTCAGTCCATGGGACAATGCTCAGTCCACTGAGCCACACTGGTCGGGCTAAATTTTTTTAATAGTTAAATTAGCTGGCCTACTGAGTGCCACTTATGTGCCAGGCACTGAGCTAAGTTGAGGATCTGGACTGCCACGCTCTGCATTTTCTAGTGTAGGCACAGGGAGGCCAGTTCACCTGCTCAGGGCCACACAGTGGCAGAGGGGGCATTTGAAGCCAGGAGATGTGGCTTCACAGGTTCAAGGTATATTTAGTTCAATGTCTAGTATTAAAAAATATGACTAGCCCTGGCCGGTTTGGCTCAGCGGTTAGAGCGTCGGCCTGCGGTCCGGAGAGACCCGGGTTCAGTTCCCGCTAAGGGCATGTACTTCGGTTGCAGTTTATCCCCGGCCCTGGTTGGTCGTGCGGGTGGCAGCCACTCGATGTGTCCCTTCACATCGATGTTTCTGTCTCTCTCTCCCTTCCTCTCTCTCCCTCCCACTCTATCAGTACAAAAAATGGAAAAATATCCTCGGGTGAGGATAAAAAAAAAAAAAATAAAAAAAATAAAAATAAAAAATATGACTAGTGCCCAACCAGTGTGGCTCAGTGGTTGAGCATCGACCCATGCACCAAGAGGTCGCCGGTTCGATTCCCGGTCAGGACACATGCCCAGGTTGTGGGCCTGATCCCCAGTGGGGGGCATGCAGGAGGTGGCCAGTCAGTGTTCTCTCTCATCGATGTTTCTATCTCTTTCTTCCTCTCCCTTCCTCTCTTTCTAAAATCAATAAAGAAAAAAATTTTTTTTAAAGTTTCGAACCTGCCCTGGCCAGTTTTGCTCAGCGGTTGGAGCACTGGCCCGTGGACCAGAGAGTCCCGGGTTCGGTTTCCGCTAAGGGCACATGCCTTGGTTGCAGTTTGTCCCCGGTCCTGGTTAGGGGTCATGTGGGTGGCAACCACTCAATGTGTCTCTCTCACACTGATGTTTCTCTCTCTCTCTCTCCAGCTCTGTCTGAAGATAAATGCAAAAATGTCCTCTGGTGAGGGGAAAAAAAAAAAGTTTCTAACTTAAAAAAAAAACTAGCACAGCGCTCACTTCGGCAGCACACATACTAAAATTGGAACGACACAGAGATTAGCATGGGCCCCGTGCAAGGGTGACATGCAAATCTGTGAAGTGTTCCATATTTAAAACAAAAAAAATAATAAAAATATGACTAGTACATTGCCTTGGCCGGTTTGTTCAGCTGTTAGAGCATCAGCCCTCAGACCAGAGAGTCGTGGGTTTGAATCTTGGTCAAGGGCACGTACCTCAGTTGCAGGTTCGATCCCCGGCCCTGGTCGGGGTTGTGCAGGAGGCAACAAATTGATGTGTCTCTCTCACGTTGATGTTTCTCTCCGTCTCTTTCCCTCCCTCCTTCCCACTCTAAGAAAATCATTGGAAAAAAATATCATCAGGTGAGAATTAACAAGCAAAATGTGACTAGTACCTCTTAGCTGTGTTTCCAGAAATACTGCTCAGGACAACGAGGCAGGACTCAGACCAGGCTGGAGTCCCAGCAGGGCCTGGCTGTGAGGAGGCCCGGGCCGGCCTGGCACTCACCTGAGGTTACTGAAGTTCTCCTGAGGCAGGCGGCCGCACACCTCCTGGAGGGCCTCTAGCCGGGCTCCAGGCTCCTTCAGGCTGGGGAAGGGGACAGACCTGGTAAGCTGGCCCAGGGTGGCACCTCCATAGCCTCCTCTTCCCCAGGACCCCTACCCTCAACCTCACCTGGCTGCCCTCATCCAATCGTCATAGAGGTCAAAGGTCATCAGGGGCTCCGGCAGCTCCCGCAGATAGGACTTGAGGGCACCTGAAGTGGCGGTGTGAGCTCAGACATAGCCCAGGCCTCCACCTTCCCCCAGCACCCAGCCCTCTCCGCCTGCTAGGAGCCTCAGACCCTCGTTCACACTAACATGTTGAGGTCTATCACTGCTTGAGCCATGGGTCCTTTAGACAAAATGATGAAGGCTAGTGATCTTGTTCTCAGAAAAGCATCCATCCATTTTAGGGGCTCAGCACAAACCCCACTTTAAGGACCCCTATGTCTCTTCAGCAGATGATCAGGCTTTAAGCCGAACTACCATGGGATCATTTCAGGCAGCTGTGGTGGAGATCTGGGGGACGGCCCCTGCCCAGGGCTCCCCGGAGCAGGCACCTGCCACGGCGTGGGGGTCAGAGCAGAACTCCTGCAGGCTGCGGGGGTCCGAGGCCATCGTCTGCTTGAGGCGCTTCAGCACTGATGCCCCAGCGGCGAGACGGAAAAGGCCCTGGGTGCGAGAGGGACCAGGTGGGGTCACGGAGGGGTGTGGGGCAGGACACCCTGGCTGGAACACCCTGCCTCACTCGTGGCTGGAGGCAGGTGGCTGGCCCTCACTGGCCTGTGTCCCCACAGCCTCGCAGGCAGCAAGGACACCAGTATCCACTGACCCTCTCCGCTGGCAACGTCTTGGATTCTGAGCAAAGGGGAGGTCTGGGAGGGGCTGGGCAACGTCGTGGGAGCGGCGGCTGGTTAGGAGCGGAAGGGAGGAAGGAGGCCCTGCAGGATGCGGGGAGCCTCCGTCTCTGAGCGGTTCTGCCTCTTCAGGGTCTGTCCCCAGGAGAGGAGCCGATGGGCAAGCGACACTGAGGTGCAAAGGACGAATGAGGGCAGGTGCAGCAGCTGGACTGTACCTGAGTCTCTGGTGGCACCGCCACCTTCTCGTGTGCCACTGGGCACGCTTACCTCTTGACCTCCATCTCCCCTTGTAAAACGGAGCCACTGAGGGCTCCTCAAAGGGCCGCTGGGACAATTCAATTCCTCAACGGAAGGGCTTACAGCCAGGCCCACGGGAGCTTCACCAAGTGGGAGGTGGCATGACCTCAGCACAGGCCAGGCCTTCTCCCGGGACCTGTGCTCTAAGGGTGGGCTTGCGGGCACGGCGTGCGCAGCACAGGGGAGTTTGGGACAGACCGGGGGCCCAATGCTCCCTCCCCACGTGCCGCAGTGGGTCCCACCTCCTCCTTCACGCCCTCGGAAAGCAGCATCAGGACGCAGGCCTCGATGGGCAGAGCGATGTCCCGGCCCAGCTCCTGCAGGTGAACTCCCAGTGACACCCCATACACCCTGGAGAAGGGGGCGGCCATCATCGAAGGGGAGGGGTCTGCAGGGACAAGACAGATGAGCGGCCCCAGGGTCCTCCCACCCACGGACAGTCAGGGGCACCCCCTGGACATCCTCAAGGGACTACTGCTTTGGCTAATGGGGCCACCTCCCACCCGACCATCCACCCACACATCCTGAACTCATCCACACACCCCTCGAATCTGCTCACTTTCACTGCTTTTACCCCTTCACCCCGGTCCAGGCCACCACTTCCCTCTGCCTCCTAGAAGGTCTCCTGACTCCAGGCCTGCCTGCCCCGTTCCAGTCTCCACACAGCAGCCAGAGCAGTCTCTACCACACATCTGGTTGAGCCCTCCCCTGCTCAGAACTCATCTGTGGCTCCCTATTGCCTTTCAGGATGGAGTGCAAGCTTCTTTTTTTTTTTATCCTCACCAGAGGACATTTTTCCACTTTTTGATCAGACAGAGTGGGAGAGAAAGAGAGAGAGAGAAATATCGATATGAAAGGGACACATCAAGGGGCTGCCACCCACATGACCCAACCAGGGCCAGGGACAAACTGCAACCGAGGTACGTGCCGTTAGCAGGAACCGAACCTGGGTCTCTCTGGACTGCAGGCCGACACTCTAACCACTGAGCCAAACCAGCCAGGGCACAAGCTTCTTTTTTATTTTTATTTTTTAATTTTTTTGTGGTACGTGCCCCTAGAGGGAACCGAACCTGGGACTCTCTGGTCTGCAGACCGACGTTCAACTGTTGAGCAAAACTGGCCAGGGTACAAGGTTCTTTTTTAAATGGATTTTTAGAGAGAGGAAGAGGACAGATAAAGAGAGAGAGAGACATCAATGTGAGAGAGACACACTGATCGATTGCCTCCTGCATGTATCCTGACTGGGGATCAAGCCTGCCACCTTTTGGTGTACGGGACTACACTCTAACCAACTGAGCCACACGAGGCGGGGGTCAGGAGTGTGGGGTCAGGGCCCATCTGTGTCCCCACCTGCTTGGCTGTGGTTCTCCTTCAGCTCAGCCAGGGCTGTGTCCAGTGAGCTCAGAGACTTGCGATGATAGTCAGCCTGAATCTCCATGAGCTGTGGGGACAAGGGGACAAGGGGGAGTGAGGGCGCTGAGCCTCCCTCGGGGTCCACGAGAGCAGTCCCCTCCCTCCCACCATCTCACCCGGGGTCTCAGTGGCCTCTGGCTCTGGCGTCTACCCCTGAGCTCTGGGTGGCTGGAACCCAGTCTTGGACTCACGTTTATGAAGTAGTTGGCATATGTGTCCTCCTTGGTGGCAAAGTGGTACAGATCAGCCAAATACTCATCCTTGGGGACATAGAGGGGAGGGCTTATATCAGTGAGGCTGGGGCCCAGAGGGTAAGCTGAGGCTGAGGGGTTAGTGACTTGCCCAAGCCAAATGCAGAGGGTCCCAGTCAGCTCTCCTCTCTCTGCCAAGGTCTGCACTTGGGGACAGCCCTCAGGAAACCCCTTGAACTCTCGAGAGGCTTTTACAGCTCCTAGTCCTCACCTCCATGTCCCCACACCCTCAGCACAGTGCCTCGTGTTAGACTCCTCTCATTCATTCACTCACTTAGCAAATACACAAGATCCGGGTGAATCCCGGCTCTGCTGCTTCCTACTTATGTGGCCTTGGGCAAGTCACATCACCTTTGAGTGTCAGTGTCCTGCCCACCCTTGCCACCCCCACACATCCAGGAACCCCAAGCGCCCCTCACCTTGCACTGCTCCACCTTCCTCTTCAGCTCCTCCTCCTCCTCCTTCAGCGTCTCCACCTTGTTGGCTGTGGTGGTGTGGCTGTAACTGCCTGGGCCCCCGCCCAGGCCCGGACCACTGCCCGAGTTCTTAGCTGCCTGGCTGAGCCTGGGGATGATCCCAAGGTGGAGTGGTCACTGTCTCCATTGCAAGTCCAGAGCCAAGTGTCCCCTCCATATGCCTGACCACACAGGAATCTGGGATTTATAGACGCAAATCCCAGAACGTCACTGGGCCTGGGCCATGAGTGCTGGGGGGCGCCACCTGGTGGTAGGCTTGGTAGTCACAACCACCCAACTCCAGAGTAGGGGGTGGGGGCCTTCCCGCCACCCAGGGATCTTAGAGGATTGTTTATGGCTATCTTGGGCTTTGGGGTTCCCCCAGCTAGCATAAGCATGAGCACACACACATGCACAAAGGCACCCTCACATGTACCCTCACCCTATGTGTTCCTAAGGACCAGACGTGTGCACAAGTACACACTCTGTACTCAGGGGGCCCTGCAGTGTCCTCCTATTGTGGGAAGTGCCTTGAAGCTCTGTGGCCACCTGTTGGCTGGCCTAGGCATGAACCCCACCAGATGCTGTGGCTCTCACCTGCTCTTGAGGGTATTCCAGTCGGATACCAGCTTCTGCAGGCTTTTCCTTTGCTTGAGGATGGCTGGCAGCTCCTCCTAGGGGCAGGCGTGGGGGGGTGAGTGCGCTGGGGAGGAGGTTGGAACTAGAGACTGGGGAAGGTGGGGGCAGGGGATAGGGTCACCTCACTCAGCCTGCTGAGTGGCTGCAGGACATCCCTCTCCAAGGTCATCTCAAACTCAGCCAGGATGCGAGCCAGCTGGTTCTGAATGGCACAGCTCATCTCCAGGGCCTTCCTGTGGAAGCAGCACCCACGAGGCCCAGGCTGGCATAGCTCCTCACCCCAATCTGGAAAGACTAGGTGGGGCTCCCTTCCTTCCCATCACCTCCTGCTCCTTCTATCTCTCCTTCATCCTCGCTGAGCCCCGCACTCTCCCAGGCCTGGTTGCCCCCACTGACCCGGACTCTCTCCCCAGCCTGGTCATCCTTCCACTGTGGCTGCCCTCCCTGCCTGGGACTCCCTCCCAGCTCAGATCCCAGTTTGGCCTCTCCAGGTGAAGGCCGAGGCCTGTCCATGCTCACCCCATGCTGGAATCAGGGTCCAGCTCCTTGAAGCTCTCAGCCATTGTGGTGGACAGAGCCATGAGGGGAAGCTTCTTCTGCAGGGAGGGGCAGGGCCAGCTGTGAGCATGAGGGCCTGTG